TACTTTAAGTCCTTCTTGCGTATTGTATTAACGGAGATTCAATCTTGGCAATAAAATGTCTATTATGTTGGTTTTGAATTTTACTAATACGTAGTCATTTACAATGAAAATTTCAGAATTTTGCTCTTCTGTCAGGTTTTTAAAAAGGATAGAAGGCTCTCCTATTTCGTAATCTTCTGTGAATGACTTCTCTGATTCCACAACCTCTAAATCCGACTCTTTTTCTGGCTCAATATCACTTATATTCAAATTTTTAGCTTCTCCATGTTCGTCTACGATTCACTGTCATTTGCATCCTGGTTCTGGTGTTTTGTGATGTGGGTCTGGACTCAACCATTAACAGATCCTCCCTATGCTTTTTCCTGGAGATACATTCAGTTTTTTCCTCGTTTAACAGTCTTCGTTGGACCCGTCCGAAATTGTTCATGATGATCTACTAAAGCACCTGTCCATGATGTTTCAAGTGTTTCGTCAACTGCTTTACGTGGGATTTTCTTTAGTACAGCATCCGGATTGTATGGAATGATTTGAGACCAACAGAATCCACAGCCTCCTTGAGAAGCTTTGAAAATAAAGTTTTGGGATGCACTTCTCTATTTCTCAACTTCCATGTTTCTAATAAATTTTCTATGAATTAAAGTGTTGTTTATATTTATGTTATCTTTATACCTATTATTATCTATTTTACTTCCAAAAACCATAAAGGAACATTTAGAAGCATTCATTTACAAAGAATAGACTGAAGAGATCTTAAAAAGATTGTCCAAATTGTAACGTTATAAATAACATTTCAGTTTTATTTCATATTAAATATTACCTACATTTAATAATTATACCCTCCTAGGAAAAATATTCAGGCATGCCACTGGTACGATCTTGGAGCAGTTGATATTTCAGAACCATTTATAAAATCAATAATTTGGATCTAGCGTGCGGTCGTACAATGGGATTTAGCATTTAAGTAAGCTTTACGGATTATTCTCTTTTTTTGTTGTGTGAAGGTTGACTGATCAACTTGTTTTGTTTTGTGTATGTGCTCGATGACAAAAGAAAAGAAGAGACCGGCAAATTAAAGAGGAAACCTCGAGGGAAAAAGAGGAACAGTAAAGACTTATTGAAAAGAAACAATAAAGCTATACTGAAGAGGAACAGTTTTAGTTAAATTATTAGTATGTTCTGCTCAATTTCATTTAATCTAACCAGTTGTTTTTTATATTTCATAATTTTTAAATTGGAAGTTGTTTACCATTTACATTAAAGTTACTATATTTTAATTTATTCCTAACTTTCAAAGAAAAAAATTATTAGCATAATTTGTATTTACATGGCGTCCTTAACCATTAATAGAACACTTTCTTGTCTTTTTAATTAAAGATAATTCCATTGGTTTGTTAGTAAATTCTAAGTCCGAATTCACCGACCCTGCTGAGCTAGGCCGAGGTAATTAAGCTAAGTATCACGTAAAATATTGGTACCAACGAGCTTTTTCGTTACAAAATTTATATTATTACAGCTTAGATAAAAGAGACCAGAGATATAACATACACCGGTTTTAAACCTGCGCAAATGTTGCCAATTTCTAAAGAAGGGTTAACGGAGTGGGGGAACTGGGCGGCGACACGCGGCGACCCGAACTCTGTGACAGGGACCGGACTTTGTTTATTAGCATCTTAATGAACTATTAGGTTTATTTAAAAGGTCTTTAATCGAATTTTGTATTATGAAATAAAATTAACGTGATTTTTTAATATCAAACAGATGCCACGACATTTTATGTAAAGAGAAGACCTTTTATAGAATATTTCGTTAGCGTTTATTTACTACGGACTTTTCTGCAAGAGATTACAGTAAAATGTTGAAATAGTATATTGTTAATAGAGCAAAAAATGTTACTCATTGTCTACGAGTATTATAAAAATAGCATGTGCGCAGGCTAATACTGCAAATCTACCCTTATGAGTTGAACATTATATTTTTTCTACGGCTATTACATATTATTAAAAATTAGTCAAAATGAGAAAATGCTGTTTTGCATTGTAACCTCAGAAAAAAGTATATTAAGGCTTCTTTCTTTAAGAATATTAATTATTATAAAGGATGAGTCACATAAAACTATAGAAATGCATATGTCTGAAACCAGATAACATTTTAAAATTTAAATCTATTAAAAGTCATTTGGTCGCTAGGGATGAGTGATTATCGAAATAAATTATCGATCATTGAAAATAATCGATTATTTTCGATCAATCGATTATTTTCAAACAATATATTTTTTGTCATTTCCTTTAAAATCGACTACTTGATTATCTTTGAAAAATCAAAAATAATCGATTAATTAAAAAGCCAATTAACCGATAAATCAGTGTTTACAAAATATAATATAAATAGAATTATCGTTTATTTTAAATAATCGATTATTTTCAAATAAACCATTTTTTTTCGTCCATGGAAACAGATTATTCGATAATCTTTGAAAAATCGAAAATAATCGATTAATCAAAAATAATCGATTAATTAAAAAGTCGATTTACTGATAAATCGATTTAAAAAAAACAGAATGATCCATTATTTTAAATAATTGATTATTTTCGATCAATCGATTATTTTAGATCAATCGATTATTATCAATAATCTATTTTTATTGTATTTCCTTTAAAATCGTTAATTCGATTATCTTTGAAATACCGAAAATAATCGATAATTCCAAAATAATCGCCTAATCGAAAATAATCAATTAATTAAGAAGCCGATTCTATGATAAATCGATTATAACCAATAATCTATTTTATTGTATTTCAAAAATAATCGATTAATTAAAAAGTCGATTAACTGACAAATCGATTTTCAAAAAAAAACAGAATGATCGATTATTTTAAATAATCGATTATTTTCGATCAATCGATTATTATCAATAATCTATTTTTATTGTATTTCCTTTAAAATCGATAATTCAATTATCTTTGAAATACCAAAAATAATCAATAATTCCAAAATAATCGCCTAATCGAAAATAACCAATTAATTAAGAAGCCGATTCTATGATAAATCGTTTTTCCAAAAAATAAAATGAATTATCTATTATTTTCTAATAATCCTTTTTTCATATTTCCTTTGAAATTGATTATTCGATTATCGAAAATAATTGATAATTAAAAAGCTGATTATCCAATAAATCGATAATTTTAAAAAAATAACCAAAATATCGATTATGTACAATAACCGATTATATCCAATCGATTATTTTCATATAATATCTTTGAAAAATCGAAAATAATCAACTAATTAAAAAACCGATTAAACGATAAATCGATTATTTTGAATAAATCTACTTTTTTTTGTATTTCCTTTAAAATCGATTAATACATTATCTTAAAAAAAACGAAAATAATTTATTAAAAACAGCGGATAAATCGATTTTCATTAAAAAATATCAGAATTATCGATAAATCGATTATTTTTGTAACCCCTATCGGTCGCTTGCTTTTATCTGAGCATTTAGCTCCAAAATTTAGAGATTCGGATTTTTTGATCCAGTTATCTTTGAAATCGCATTCGATTGTATAATAAATAAATATTGCTAAATTTTGGATTTTTTTTAATAAACGAAAATTATGTTCGAGTTGTTTAGGGGTTTGTAATGTAACATTTTATTAACGTGACTAAGGGTCGATTCCACCGTTGTGTTAAACGAAGTTTAAAATGACATTTTTACATTAACACTGTCATTTTAATCTCCGTTTAACACAACGGTGGAATCGGACCTAACTCCTGTAACTTTAGTATTTTTTTTTGCTTATACTAGTTTACTTTGTTTTAAGACTGAAAATTCAATGTCACTTTCGATTTGACCGCAAATAAGATGAACCTTGAAATTTTAAGTAGGTCATCCTGTATTTCATCTAATATTCTTATAAAAATAAAATTTAGCTAGCAACTATGATTCTTTACCTCTTATTTATCTACCAAAAAGGGCTAAAAACTACCTTTAGAAAACATTCTTATATAACTACTTTTTAAATACAAAATTTCGTTAGCAATAATGCCTATTTACTATTTATTTAAATTAAATGTTCAAAATTTTACCCTTTTGTAAATTTATGTAAGTAATATGAAATCTGATGCTTAATATTTATTGAAACCCCTTAATGCGGATCTGAAGTATTCAGCCCAGAGAATCATGGCGCTTTATGTCAAAACGTTAATAAATATTTACCGCTGAAAAGGAATATATTCATAACAGTAGTACTTGTATTATAAGTACATACAATTTTTCAAGATACATCGTGACATTTTGAACTTGAAATTGAATAACTAGAACACTTTAAATTGCTAAAATACCAACAAATAAATCAAAAAACAGCTGTCAATGGTGATTAAACTCAGGTGGAGGTGATCGCTGAATGGAAATCGGAGCAATTCGGGTGGCGTCGTGCAACAATGATTTTCAATTGGTGGGTTACTTTGGCTTAAAATAGACAACATGCGCAGTGTGCAATGTTACATCTTCGGTCTCTTTAATCTAAGTATTACAGCCAGTAAATAGGTATTTAGGATAAAATGAGTAGTATAATTGAAAATTTGTATAGAGCAGTGATTAATTACTTTTACAAATAAAGTTGTATACAAATAAAATACAATCGGTCCCAAAATTGATCCTTGAGGGACACCTTATATGTATTATATTCGATTTTTTATTATTTAATATTAGCCTCTGCTTTCTATTGTTATGTAGTTTTCAAAAATGTTACCTATAAAAGTGCTTCGTGATTTAATGTATCAAATGCTTTTGAATAGTCAGTACCTTTTATATTGTCATCGACAACATTAAGTAGAGCAAACTTGGTATGTCACAAATAAAAATTTTTCCCAGAATAAAGTAATAGATATTTTTAAATTAAATACACCAATAATAAATAACCATATATTTAAACAAAATTATAACAATACTACAATTTCATTAGGTTTAAAGACAAATGTGCTAGTACAACATAATCCTTATTATTTAACTAATTATATATAACGATTGCAAATGACAACATTCATATAATTTCTTACCAGTTGACTATTAATATAATCAAACACTTGTTTTTTAAAAAATGTATAAAACGCATTCATATTTTTAATAAAATCCATCAAATAGAATCCAACAAAGGATTTTTTCCATTTTGTTCCTTTAGGACTTCAGTTTTTGTTTGCTTCAAAGGACCCCAGTAGCACAGATGGTTCTTCGTGGCCTCGTCTAGAACTGGTATGTACGATCTGGGTATTAAGAATGTTGACAGATTAAATAAATCGACGAACACCTTGTATCGGTCACTAAAAATGATAATTTGAACAAGATATAATACCAGAAGGAGTGATAATTTTGTTGTTTCATTGGAAATTTGCTTAATTTGTAAGGAAACAACTAAATATTCGCAAAGAATTATTATTACCTCACGTGGTATTTGGAAAGATTATTTAACAATACAAAGATAATTCTTATAAACAATCTTTTGTTTTAGTACAAGTGTAAATTAAAAATTTAAAAAAACCGACTTCAAAAACGTGCAGATGCCATCACCACATCTTAACCAAATTTATATGGGATCACCCCTGAGGTACCCCCTTACTAACAAAAAAGAAGCATATAAATCGGAAAAGGTGGTAAAGCATTATCGCTAAACATACATAAAAAATGAAGAGTTTGAGGATTTTCTCATGGACCCAATTTTTAGATTTTGACCAAATTTATATGGGACCACCTCTGAAGTAGCCCCTTTCTAACAAAAAAAGAATCATATAAATCGGACAAGGTGGTAAAGCATTATCGCTAAACATACATCAAAAATGAAGAGTTTGAGGATTTTCTCATGGACCCAATTATTAGATTTTGACTAAATTTATATGGGACCACCCCTGAAGTACCCCCCTTTCTAACAAAAAAAGAATCATTGAAATCGGACACCGTGTTAAAGAATAATCGCTGAACATACATAAAAAAAAAAAAAAAAAAAAATATCGCGACGAATTGATAACCTCCTCCTTTTTTGAAGTCGGTTAAAAATGAAGTAGATTCTGTATTTAAAATGCATATTCTAACAACTAAAACGTTTTTTGTCCACTTTTATGAATTTTTTAACAAACTTGTCATTGACGATTGAATGAAAACACATTTTTAATTGATATGTGTTGAAATAAAAGATAATTGTCAAGGGTGGACGTATTATAGTGTTAAATAATTTCAATAGTTTTTTTTATATATATAATAATAATAATAATTTATTTCCCAAATAACAATATACATACAATCTTAAAATTAATTAAATACATGATATAAAAAAAAGAAATCACAATAAAGATGAACTTTATTTCACACATATTTATATTGTGGAAAATAAATTGAGGGCAGTCCCATGAAGACGAACTTGTTATGGGACATCAATTAATCATCGGCACATTAATGTAAATATTATGTAAGATAAAAGTGATAGTAATAGTAATAATAATAGTAATAGTAATATAATTATAATTCAAGATAATAATAATAACAATACCAATAATAACATTGATAATAAAAATAATAGAATTTTAATTGAACATAATAATAATAATAATAATAATAACAATCATAACATGAATAATAAGAGTAATAGAATTACAATTGAACATAATAACATTAACAATAATAATAATAAAAAATAATGATAAAAAAAAATTTATCATAAAATCATAACAAACAATAAAAATATATTTGAAATATTTTTTTTTTTTAGTTAGTAGCATAAATTATAAAAAAATAATATATAGAGTATAAATTAGACCAATTATAAGAGCAGATAAAAATAAATAAAAAAAAGAATGAGTGTGGAAATGTGGAGACTAATGCAAAAAACCTAAACATATTTGTAAATCGATAATAGATAAATTTGCAAGCCATGTTTTAATTTTCTTTTTATATAAAGATACATTATTCGTTTTTTTTATTGATTGAGGAACTAGGGAATATAATCTGGGAGTAATGTAATAATTAGAGCGTTGACCGATTGATTTATTTGCCTTTTCCGTTTTAATTTCTGCGTTTTGTTTGTGTCTAGTATTATGCGTATGATCAATAGAAATGAACTTATTTTTATTTTTTTGTTGCAGCGATAGGATTCTATAATAATAGAGTTTTTTTAGGTCAAAAATATTTGTTTCACTAAAAAGTTGTTCTGTAGAATAGATACGTGTTCTATTATAAATAAATATAAATAATTAAAAGATTTAAATCCTTATAGAACAATCTCATCAAATAACTCTCCAAACCATAAGCAAGCAGTGAAAATTAGTTCTGAACAAAAATAAAGTTGATACGATATAAATAGTTAACCTACTAGATCAGTGGTCGACAACCTGTCGATCGCGAGCTACCGGTAGCTCGCGGAGGCAATTCTGGTAGCTCTCACAACGATTTTAATTTAAAAAATACAAACTGCAAAAATCAGAGAAGCTTCCGAAAATTCCACAAAAAAATCTAATTGTCATAATATTAAACATAAACAACGGCAACGTTGCGGTGAGCGATCTGCCGCTGACGCCATCAAGTTAGAATCGGCTAGAACCGATCAGCCGGACCAGCGCGTTAGTGTTCGAGAACGATCAGGATTGCTTTGAACGGGATAAATACGCACGCCGCGGCGACATTGCGCTTAGTTTAAAACTGAACGCGTAACCAACGTCCAGCGGTTGAGTTAGTAGAGAACAACAAAAAATAATATTATGGCAAGCAGTTGTAAGAAGGTAAAGACATACCACTTTCATTCGGAATGGGAAGAACAATACTTTTTTACAGAAGTTAAAGATAAAAATGTGTGTTTGTTATGTAATACTTCGGTCTCCGTTGCTAAAAAATGAAATATTGAGAGACATCATAAAACTGTACATTTTAATTTTGAAAAATCATTCCCATTACATTCTGCCGCCAGAAAGGAGAAACTGAAACAGTTAAAAAAGCAGTTAATTGGACAACAATCAATATTTTTACGAACAGTCGACAAAAATAAGGCTGCAACTGAAGCATCGTACCGTGTGTACTGCATTATCCATCAGCAAGCATTATGTGGAAATTTCCTAAAACTAAACAACGTTATGAAACTGGTGGTAAAAATTATGAACAAGATTAGAGCTCAAGCGTTACAAAGAAGATTATTCAAAACCTTGGCCGATGAAGTTGACTGTCAATACGGGGACCTACTCCTTCACTCTGAAATCCGATGGTTAAGTAGAGGACGGGTGCTGAAACGTTTTAATGATGTCCTATCTGGCATAGTTCAATTTTTCAAACAACGCGATGAACCGACTCCGGAACTAAAAAATTCAATCTGGCGTAGAGATTTTGGTTTTCTCATGAACATTACAGAGAAATTAAACGAACTTAATTTACAGCTTCAGGGGAGAGACAAAGAACTAGCGGAAATGATTTCTGATATAAAAGCATTTATCAAAAAGCTGGAGTTTTGGGAACAAAATCTAATTAACAGCGATGCCAAGCATTTTCATATTCTTTCAGAAAAAATATCTCAAAATCCATTAGAACCCTATGACAGCAAATATGATGTAGAAATATTTTCTACCCTGAAGAATAACATTAAAAATCGTTTTAAGGATTTCAACGAAATGGCTTTAGTAGCGCAGTTTGTTGTTTCACCCTTTATGGAAATTGATATCCAACAGTTTGCAACTTGTGTTATGCAAAACTTTGGCGAAGACATCGCTGCAACAGAAATGGAAGTAATTGAGTTTTAAAATAATTTAGCCTTAAAATCGTTAGTCTCAAGTACCAAATGTATCTGGCCTATTGTAAGTAAAGACAAATATTTAGTTCTATGCCGTGTTGCCTTGAAAGTGAAAGCATTATTCAGTTCAACCTATTTGTGTGAATCTTCTTTTTCCAATATGAAGTTTATTAAGAACAAATATCGAAATCGACTTACAGATGAACATTTGGATAATTGTATTCGAATGGCTGTATCAAATTATATTGCAAACATTAAAAAAATTATCGATGAGTCTGAGTGTCAGCCTTCTCATTGAACGTGCTTTTTTATTTTTCAATGTTTATGTTCATGATAGTGCGTTACTTTTTTATTATTATTAACTATTTTAAATCTTACGTGACATGCCGTTGTGGCTGGATAAAAGTTTGTGTTTATTTTTCAAACACCTTCGTTTGGTAGGTAGGAATGTAGCTATTAACAAGTACGTACAAGGTACTATATGAGTTATTTTGTTATTAGTTTATTATTAGTACCTATGTATTATGTATTACCAGTTAAATAGTAAAATAAATACATATAATGATAAATTAACTGTGGATTATTTCATTTACGTTGCGTTACGTGGCTTCCGTGTGGGTAGCTCGCTGTTTATTCCAAAATTAACAAAGTAGCTCAACACATTGAGAGGTTGGCGAATACTGTACTAGATTCTTGATATTGGAATTGTTAGTACCTAACCAGAAAATTAGTCAAATATACCTTACCTCAGTGTTGACCTTAAATATTGATATCCCGAAGAACCACCTGTACCCAGTTGTGATGAACCAATCATTCTTTGAACCATCAGCATGTGGTTATCTAAAATTAGTCAAAAATATTTATTTTTATCCAAAACAAGAAAAAGGTAAAATTAAAACATTTCCAGAAAAAGTTCCTTTGCAGTTATCATGTTCCAGAAAAATAGAAAAAGATTAGATAATGGTACTATTTTTTCCTGCTAGATTTGAAAATTTTTATTAAAAATCCTGTTTGTATTTTGATATTTGCCATCGAATCATGTAAAAAATTAGATAAAGATTAGCCAATTGTACCGTTTTGCCTGTCATTTTTCTATCCTGTGCCATATCTATATAATTTTGAATGGTAATAGACCAGCAGATTTGAAAAGTTTTACTAAATATCGCGTTTGTATTTTTATGAAATATGTCAATGAATCATGTGATAAATTAGATAAACATTAGGTCATTTTAATGCTTTGCCTGCCATCTTCTTATCCTGAAGTATTTCTCCATAATTTTGGATGTTACTAGACCACAAATTTTGTCTTTTAATAAAATTTGACAAATGTTAATGATGACACTTTAAGGCTGGCATAATTTAGATCAGTGGTCGCCAACCTGTCGATCGCGAGCTACCGGTAGCTCGCGGAGGCAATTCTGGTAGCTCTCACAACGATTTTAATTTAAAAAATACAAACTGCAAAAATCAGAGAAGCTTCCGAAAATTTCACAAACAAATCTAATTGTCATAATATTAAACATAAACAGCGGCAACGTTGCGGTGAGCGATCTGCCGCTGACGACATCAAGCTAGAATCGGCTAGAATCGACCAGCTGGACCAGCGCGTTAGTGTTCGAGAACGATCAGGATTGCTTTGAACGGGATAAATACGCACGGCGCGGCGACATTGCGCTTAGTTTAAAACTGAACGCGTAACCAATGTCCAGCGGTTGGGTTAGTAGAGAATAACCAGAAATAATATTATGGCAAGCAGTTGTAAGAAGGTAAAGACATACCACTTTCATTCGGAATGGGAAGAACAATACTTTTTTACAGAAGTTAAAGATAAAAATGTGTGTTTGTTATGTAATACTTCTGTCTCCGTTGCTAAAAAAGAAAATATTGAGAGACATCATAAAACTGTACATTCTAATTTTGAAAAATCATTCCCACTACATTCTGCCGCCAGAAAGGAGAAACTGAAACAGTTAAAAAAAGCAGTTAATTGGACAACAATCAATATTTTTACTTTCCTATCTGTATACAGATATAAGGAAAGTATAGGAATCATGATTTTTTTCGACATCGAGTTTTCGACGGATTTTTACGTTTTGAGGTCCCCTGAATCCGTTTTGACTATTTTCGCGATGATGTCTGTCTGTGTGTGTGTGTGTGTGTGTGTGTGTGTGTGTGTGTGTGTGTGTGTGTGTGTGTGTGTGTGTGTGTGTGTGTGTGTGTGTGTGTGTGTGTGTGTGTGTGTGTGTGTGTGTGTGTGTGTGTGTGTGTGTGTGTGTGTGTGTGTGTGTGTGTGTGTGTGTGTGTGTGTGTGTGTGTGTGTGTGTGTGTGTGTGTGTGTGTGTGTGTGTGTGTGTGTGTGTGTGTGTGTGTGTGTGTGTGTGTGTGTGTGTGTGTGTGTGTGTGTGTGTGTGTGTGTGTGTGTGTGTGTGTGTGTGTGTGTGTGTGTGTGTGTGTGTGTGTGTGTGTGTGTGTGTGTGTGTGTGTGTGTGTGTGTGTGTGTGTGTGTGTGTGTGTGTGTGTGTGTGTGTGTGTGTGTGTGTGTGTGTGTGTGTGTGTGTGTGTGTGTGTGTGTGTGTGTGTGTGTGTGTGTGTGTGTGTGTGTGTGTGTGTGTGTGTGTGTGTGTGTGTGTGTGTGTGTGTGTGTGTGTGTGTGTGTGTGTGTGTGTGTGTGTGTGTGTGTGTGTGTGTGTGTGTGTGTGTGTGTGTGTGTGTGTGTGTGTGTGTGTGTGTGTGTGTGTGTGTGTGTGTGTGTGTGTGTGTGTGTGTGTGTGTGTGTGTGTGTGTGTGTGTGTGTGTGTGTGTGTGTGTGTGTGTGTGTGTGTGTGTGTGTGTGTGTGTGTGTGTGTGTGTGTGTGTGTGTGTGTGTGTGTGTGTGTGTGTGTGTGTGTGTGTGTGTGTGTGTGTGTGTGTGTGTGTGTGTGTGTGTGTGTGTGTGTGTGTGTGTGTGTGTGTGTGTGTGTGTGTGTGTGTGTGTGTGTGTGTGTGTGTGTGTGTGTGTGTGTGTGTGTGTGTGTGTGTGTGTGTGTGTGTGTGTGTGTGTGTGTGTGTGTGTGTGTGTGTGTGTGTGTGTGTGTGTGTGTGTGTGTGTGTGTGTGTGTGTGTGTGTGTGTGTGTGTGTGTGTGTGTGTGTGTGTGTGTGTGTGTGTGTGTGTGTGTGTGTGTGTGTGTGTGTGTGTGTGTGTGTGTGTGTGTGTGTGTGTGTGTGTGTGTGTGTGTGTGTGTGTGTGTGTGTGTGTGTGTGTGTGTGTGTGTGTGTGTGTGTGTGTGTGTGTGTGTGTGTGTGTGTGTGTGTGTGTGTGTGTGTGTGTGTCTGTGTGTGTGTGTATGTGTCTGTATAACGCATAACTCATGAACCGATACACAAAAAAATACCAAATTTTAAACTTAAGCTTTGTTTCAGCGTCCAATGAGCAGATTAGATTTTGGGCAGAGTCGGAACATCTGGGGGGGTACTTTATGGGTGGTCATTTTTATATTTTATGGAATATATCTGTTATTTACGTTTGGAGAAGAAAATTCTTTAAATAAAAGTTACTTCTAATATAATTATCTATAATTTTTGTTTTATGTAAAATTTTCCTAAAATGGTCCGTATTCGAGAAATTTGAGAAAATGTAAAAAAAATAATTTTTTATAAAAATTGTTCAAATAAAAGTTGTTTGTAATATAATTTTCTATAATTTTTGTCCTATACATAATTTCTCTAAAATGGACCGTATTCGAGATATTTGAGAAAATGTGTAAATTTCGAAATTTGAAGAAAACTCAAAAACGGATAAAGGAAAAAATATTAAATTTTAAACTTAAGGTTTATTTCGGCCTGACGTGAAATGATTAGATTTTGGACAAAGTCGGAACATCTGGAGGGGTACTTTATGGGAGGTCATTTTTATATTTTATGGAATATATCTGTTATTTATGTTTGGAGAAGAAAATTGTTCAAATAAAAGTTACTTCTAATATTATTATCTATAATTTTTGTTCTATGTCAAAATTTCCTGAAATGGTCTGTATTCGAGAAATTTGACAAAATGTGCAAAATTCTGATTTTTATGAAAATTATTGAACTAAAAGTTGTTTGCGATATCGATTTCTATAATTTTTGTTTATATATGATTTTTCTAAAATGGACCGTAATGGAAAAGTGCTAAATTTAAATTTTTCTGTATTTTCGTTTTCAATGAATATCTATAGAAAAATGTTTCGAGGTAGATGTATGTGGAAAATGTATATATTTAGTTTATCCTCTAAACATTTATAGAGATGCTGCAATAGGTTGTACAAAATAACCGGAAAATGCCTATAATAACTAGATAGGAAAGTCATGTGTTGGACACATCAGATTTTTAAGAACAGTCGACAAAAATATGGCTGCAACTGAAGCATCGTACCGTGTCTCCCAGATAATTGCACAAAAAAAGAAACCTTATGAAGACGGGGAAATGATAAAACAGGCGTTTTTAGAAGCTGCTGATTCGTTATTTGCCAACTTTAGAAATAAAGACGAGATAGTTTCAGCTATAAAATCTATGCAACTTTCTGCTAATACAGTGATGAGACATGTAGAAGTAATGAGCAATGATATTTTTTTACAGTTAAGAACTGACTTAGATAACTGTGTTTATTTTTCACTTCAACTGGATGAATCAACAGATGTCGTTGACACTGCCCAGATGGCCATGTTCGTCAGGATCGTTTGTAGTGATTTTACGATTAAAGAAGATCTTTTGAAGTTTATTCCACTGAAAGGACACGCTACTGGACAGGAGTTGTTTTCTCATTTAAAAAATATTATTTCTTCCGAGAAAATTCCAATTTCGAAAATGGTAGGCTTGACAACCGATGGCGCTCCAGCTATGGTGGGTTGTGATAAGGGTCTGGTGGCGTTATGTCGTAAAGATGAAACTTTTCCGCAATTTCTCTGTTACCACTGCATTATCTATTAGCAAGCATTATGTGGAAATTTCCTGAAACTAAACAACGTTATGAAACTGGTGGTAAAAATTGTGAACAAGATTAGAGCTCAAGCGTTACAAAGAAGATTATTCAAAACCTTGGCCGATGAAGTTGACTGTCAATACGGGGACCTACTCCTTCACTCTGAAGTCCGATGGTTAAGTAGAGGACGGGTGCTGAAACGTTTTAATGATGTCCTATCTGGCATAGTTCAATTTTTCAAACAACGCGATGAACCGACTCTGGAACTAGAAAATTCAATCTGGCTTAGAGATTTTGGTTTTCTCGTGGACATTACAGAGAAATTAAACGAACTTAATTTGCAGCTTCAGGGGAGAGACAAAGAACTAGCGGAAATGATGTCTGATATAAAAGCATTTATCAAAAAGCTGGAGTTTTGGGAACAAAACCTAATTAACAGCGAAGTCAAGCATTTTCCTATTCTTTCAGAAAAAAATATCTCAAAATCCATTAGAACCCTATGACTGCAAATATCATGTAGAAATTGTTTCTACCCTGAAGAATAATTTCAAAAATCGTTTTAAGGATTTCAACGAAATGGCTTTAGTAGCGCAGTTTGTTGTTTCACCCTTTATGGAAATTTATATCCAACAGTTTGCAACTTGTGTTATGCAGAACTTTGGCGAATACATCGCTGTAACAGAAATGGAAGTAATTGAGTTTTAAAATGATTTAGCCTTAAAATCGTTAGTCTCAAGTACCAAATGTATCTGGCCTATTGTAAGTAAAGACAAATATTCAGTTCTATGCCGTATTGCCTTGAAAGTGAAAGCATTATTCAGTTCAAACTATTTGTGTGTATCTTCTTTTTCCAATATGAAGTTTATTAAGAACAAATATCGCAATCGACTTACAGATGAACATTTGGATAATTGTATTCGAATGGCTGTATCAAATTATACTGCAAACATTAAAAAAATTATCGATGAGTCTGAGTGTCAGCCTTCTCATTGAACGTGCTTTTTTATTTTTCAATGTTTATGTTCATGATATTGCGTTACTTTTTTGTTGTTATTATTAACTATTTTTAAATCTTACGTGACATGCCATTGTGGCTGGATAAAAGTCATGGGCGAAGTTAAGGGGGGGCTTGGGGGGGCTAAGCCCCCCCAAAAACCAAATTAGCCCCCCCAAAAATAATTAGAACATTTATCGCACATCCACCCAAACATTTCAGAACAGAAATTAAAAAATAAAAAGAATCGTGCCATTTGATTGATTCTGCAATTTTACATTTAGTTCAGGAGGCAGTGAATTTTTTTCGTATTCATTTTTCCAGTCGGTGTATATGAAAAATAAACTGTTCTCTTAGTGACAAAAAACAAAATTTTTGAGTCTGACACTTATTTTCCCAGTCATAACTATTTTACATTTACTAAACTAGAACATAAAGCTTATAAAAATAGCAGTTTGGATTATATTAGATAGTGGAAAGTGAGTGTGGCAGAAAATTGAGCATATAAATTGATACAATCATGAAGTGTTTATAATAATAAGTCTGGCTGATTTACGAAATTGTCTAATGAGTCTGGTAATATCTTCTAAATGGAAAACATATAATATTTTTGCTTTTATTTTCCCGGGTTTGAAAATTTGTCACGTGATAGATTAAATTATAATTTTACACCTCCATTTTATAGCCAATCAACTGCTGTTATTTTAAAACACTTCCATGACAACCAGAAAAATTTCCGGAAATTTTTCTTTTGGTGGGTACCCTGAACGAAATTATACTGAAAATTTTTTTGTCAGTTGAGCAGCTCTTTCATGCATATAAAAAATTTGCCATTTCAGTGGTTAATATTTTATTTAATACCAATTATAACTAGGTAGAAATACACTACATTTATTTTATTTAAAATAATAATTAGGTTTTTCGCGTCAACTAAACGACTTCAAATATGACAAATGGTCATGGTATGGCCACAGCATATTCTGTGGTATGGCTACCTTTAAAAATTTGATTTTAGTCGTTTTAATGCATGTCTGTCAAGTTTTAAAATTTGGATATTTTGGTGTAAAACTTTCTTACCCAATACCAAAAGTGCCTAAATTATTATCAGTAAATTTTTGCACACTCACGCATATTTTAAGAACATTATCCATCTACTTAGGATAAATTTTAAAATATTCGTAAGTGAAAATACACGTCTGGCTGACAATTACAATTACAGAGGCCTGCCAGACTCACAAATAGTGTCCGACCGAAGGTTCGGTTACGGTTTCGGTCAACTTTAGCTTTAAATAATAGTTTCGACTACAGTTTCGGTTTCGGCGGAAAACTGGCCGAAACTGCAGCCGACAGCGAAACTACTTTTAAAAGTTTTCGTATCACAATTGGTTGTGTCCGGCGCAATGGCGACTGTGCCGAGTGCCATTCCTACACAGTGCACGACCACGTACACACAAACTTCTCTGCTTTGTTTCAAGTGAACATGTCAATAAATTTATTAATGGCTTCTTTTGATCACATAAATAAACAGGTAATAAGTAAATGTAGCTAAAATTTATAATACAAGTTAATTAGTCTAAAACAAGGATTACAATGAGATATTGCAAATTTCAATAAGAGAATGCCTTAAAAGAAAGTTCTTGTTTCTGTTTCGGCCGAAACTAAGAAAGGAGCCGAAATTTGGTTTCTGTTTCGGTTATAAAACCGTATTTCGGTTGGACCTGACAAGCCATGTAGTTAAACGAGGAGAGGAATAGTAATCGAACGTGCCGAATTTAGCGCGCCTGACGGTCATTAGACGAGTCTGGCAAGGCTTTCGGGGTGTTCCACATTAGCCAGATTGTATTTTAAGCTGTTATCATAATATACATTTTTCTAGTAGTGAGAACACTTGTAACAGGGATCCTTACTGGACATTGCCAACTAAAATTACACATTAGTAAACTGAGAGTAGTAGAAGATAGTGCAGATTTTGTGAGGAGGAGGAAAAAATCTTCATTCACATTCTAACTAAATGTGTAGCACTTGAGAATCCAAGGGCACTATACCTAGGAGAATATCAAATAGAAGAGGGAGATTTACCTAACTTGAAGCCACTCCAAATCCTACACTTCCTTGAGAAGGTATTATAATTGGAAGGATCTTTATTCGCGATTCAAGCTAAGTGATACGCCCTCTGGAGGAAATTTGTAGAAGGTCCCTATAAGTAGGATATCGTTCAGTGTTGCCAAAAGTAGCAAAATTTCTCTACGTTGTCGGATTTTAGCTCTTGAAGAAGTGGATAAGACCTTTTATTTAAGAATCAAAATTTGTGTATAGTAATATGTAATCATACTCTATATTTATTTAAGGACTTTTTTATAAAACCGATTTATTATATTAATTTTTTTTTAATTTCAGTTCATTTATTAATTTTGTTTTAAAATCAGTTCATCATTTGGCAACGAGTTCATTGTTTACATTTTAATTTGTATCAATTACAATTCGAGTTTTTCTTACTTTTTAGCTTTAAATTTGTTTATTTCTTATAGTATGTGATAGTGTTTATGTTAAAAATGAAATCTGCGAAAAAGTCCCCAGCAAATTGCAATCTATATGGTGTTAATGTCAAAATCAAAACTGAAGTATTCATTATTTTCCAAGTGCAAGTCGTAAAATTTAGTTTTTTACCATAAATGGATATCTACAAATTCACAATATTGAAATTTTGCAAAACTTTGTTTAGAATCGATATATGATATTTTATCCATTTTCATAGATTCGCCAGAATGTTTTTACTTAACTTCAGTAGGTATACCTCTAGAACTATTATATATTATACGACTAGGGCTTTAGCCCCCCCCCCAGATCTGATGACATAACTTCGCCCATGGATAAAAGTTTGTGTTTATTTTTCAAACACCTTCGTTTGGTAGGTAGGAATGTAGCTATGAACAAGTTCGTACTAGTAATATTAGTTATTTTGTTATTAGTTTATTATTAGTACCTTATGTATTACCAGTTAAATAGTAAAATAAATACATATAATGATATATTAACTGTGGATTATTTTATTTACGTTGCGTTACGTGGCTTCCGTGTGGGTAGCTCGCTGTTTATTCCAAAATTAACAAAGTAGCTCAACACATTGAGAGGTTAGCGACCACTGATTTAGATAAAAACAAATATATAAAAAACTTACACCTCCATTTTGTGATTAAAGAATCGATATCCATTAGCAGCGTCAAAATCTGATGGGGTTGACTGAATCGAGGTTCATCTCTGTAAAAGTTAATCATGATGGCACCTTGTAAAGCTTTATGCGAAAACCGTCGTTCCCCTCTCGACACTAAGGCATCGTGAATTTCCGCTCTGAAAATCGATTCGTACACCTCTATCCTGTGCTCTAATTCGTTTAATTTATGCCTTTTTAGAGTCTCGTTTTCTTCTTTCTGGGAACAGTAAAAAACGTTTAATTGCTGTACTACATCCTGATCGTTAATGTTTTGTTGAATAGTATTTTAGTCTAGTTGAGGAATGGTTTATACGGTCCACAGCTCAATGGCGGCTCGAGGCTGGATTTACGGTGGGGAGCAATGCGAAAATTTGTTTAAATAGTTCTTTACCTATAATTAATACAAACCTAAATTAAAAAAAAACAGCTATATTGGCCTTTGTACAAAGGTTTGAACCAAACTTGCAAATGCTAAAATTTTTGGTAAAAATTGAGTTCCCATTTTAAATTACCACGAGCCGTCACTGCTTACCAGGTAAGTCATTTAATCTTTTAATTATAGAACTGAATTAAAAATTTATTACCGAAATAGTTTACGAAAAAAATTAGGGAATTATCAATTAGTACTTACAGATAGAAAAAATAAGTATATCAATTCCTAGATCAATTCCTTCAAATAGTCAATACATCCAATATTAATAATCCTTTATGTAAAACAAATAAAATACCTCAACTTACGTTTGCCTTTTCTCTGTCCTCGTTCAATATCACTTTAACTGATTTATGGTATTTCCCCCAAAAGTCAAAGCCTTCTATCTCCAAACCGGGCGTTCTCTCCAACCAATTTTGCACTAAATCCTTTAGTGACGGCTCTGCCTCGGATTGCTCTATTCTCTTGATTGCCTCCTAAATTATTTCGTTAGATAGAAATCTTTTATTTAACAATGTTTTCATTGTGTTCACATCACATTTGATATATTTATTATGTATCTGCTAGACTTGTATCTCATTTGATAAGAAAAAGTTAGGAGAAAGTGAGAATAATTTTACAATTTGTTAAAATAAAGCAAAAACTAGATAAAAATATTGTTTTATCATCCTCTGATTAAAGAAATAATTGTGATTAATTGTATAGAATATAAAATAAAGCAAATTGTTTTAGAAATTTATCTCACTAATTTTTTTTTCTTTTACTATTCAACCATAATAATTATAAATTGTTTACCTCGTCATTTCCGAAGACTTTGGCATAGTTCCTGTTGTATTTCACACGGTTGTCTTGCCGAACTCCTAATTTGTTTTCGAGCAGTCTGAACTGTAAGCTCTGAAATCCCGAAGCGGGCCTCAGATAGTTTCTGAACTCCATGAAATCCAGAGGCGTCATCGTTTCTAGTATCATCACTTGGTCGACGAGAACCTTCAAAGTAAATTCAAAATTGCTTGTCATTTTAGAAGTTGATATACATTTTTATTACTATGGTTGGTTAAGTGTGACTTACAGTGTGATAAATTAGATTCAAGACATTTAATAATCGATACAAATTTTAAAAATAATTTTGGGTTATTAAGAGGAGTATTTACTTGGCTGTAGAGCGGAGCATGCAAGGGTTTCGTAGTACCCCACTTTTAAAGTTTATTTTTGACTTATTGTGAAAGAAAAAAATATGTACGTGTAGGTAAAGGATAAATCTATGCTCCTCTGGAAACACTTTTTTAAAATTTAAAACAGTTTTTTCTAAAAAAAAATACAAATCTCGACTTGTTTTACCCATTTTCTCAATTTTTTTTAGAAAAAACTAAATTGAATTTTGAAAAAGTGGTTCCAGAGGAGCATAGATTTAACCTTTACCTACACACACATATTTTTTTATTTTAAAAATAGTCAAAAATAAACTTTAAAAGTGGGGTACTACGAAACCCTTACATTGCAAGATTTTTCGTCTGGAAAGTGGCGCCTCTGTTAGATTTTTAAGAAATTAATATTTGTGAATGAAAACAATTTATAATATATTTTACTGATGTTTTACGAGGGATGAATAAATTTTACGTATTTGTACACCTTATTTTTTACGTAATTTATTTCTGTAATACTAAGATTGGCATATATATTATATGCAAGGGTTTCATAGTACACCAATTTTACGGATTATTTTTTAATTTTACTAAAAGAAATTTTATATAAGTACAGCTAAAGGCTTAACCCATACCTCTCTGGATTTACTTTCAAAATATGAATCAGTCTCTTTTGAAAAAATCTAAGAAAAGAAACGAAAGCCACCCGATATGGCATGGACCATAAATTCAAAACAAAATAAGATTTGGAAATTTATTTGCAAGTAAAAGTTTTTAAATGTGGACATTTTATTGAATTCGAATTTAATTATGTTGCTGCCAGTCTGGATGGAATTAAAAAAAAAACAAAACTCTATGATAGAGTTAAAATGTCCATATGGAGCTGAGCTGCGGACTGTAGCAGAAGAAATATGCAGTAGAGAAATAACTTTTTGGAAAAAGAACAATTCCATTAAGGAGAACCACTATTGGTATTTTCAAATTCAGGGCTAGCTGCACATGGATTTTTGCATTTTGTGCTTTTGGACTTCTGGAGGAATAGAAGTGGAGAAAATATCTCATATTGACAGCTTTTGAGAAAAAAAGATACAAAATAAAATTAAAATTTTTTATATGCAATATGTCTTGCCGGAACTTGTTGACAGCGAAGCAATAGAGACATGGAAGTACGAGACAGAATATTAAATAATTCGTGAGAAATTTTGTTTAATGTTTATTAACATAACGCAAGAAATCTTAAATTATTTTAAATATTTTTATTAATTTAAGAATTAAATTTTATTTATTTCTAAAACATGTTAGTAGGCGATCCATTTAAGATACGATTAATGTCTTCTTATTATTATATTACACTATTTTAAATTTAGGATTTTACCAGTGGCAGTGGTAATTGATGATAGGTATATAATTATTATTACACCAAATGTTTTAAAAGGCTACACCAACTAGTGGACCACGCTTTTAAGTCCCCAAATAATAGTTTCAAGATTTTTATTCGGATTAGAAGTTTTACTATACAGGGTTTTGTGTCAAAGCCAAGTCATGTAGGTATTGTTATTGTAATACGTAGATGAGTAACTATCATCAATAGAAATTTAAAATTCAAACATAAATCTTTGTAACGACGTTATTTATAACTTTATTAACTTCATAACGGTCAAAAATGTTAGTTAACTTATTTAATTTTAAATATAAATTGATTTTAATTTTAACTTAGAAATTTTCGAAAAGTTCACTATATTGTTTAGTTGTTGCAACTTTACTGCGCTTAAGTAGCGTTCAGATTAAAATATAAATTTATGGAGCTTAACTGAAAAACAGAAACTAATGCTTTCATTCCAAAAAAAGTATTATGGCTAATAAAAAGAATTTTGAATTGTGATATCTGCAAGTCCTTATTTAAAACCTTTAAATTTAATATTATCATTATACAAGAGTTATTTTTACAAATTGATACAAATATCGAACATAAGTTTGTTGACATAAACATTATTTCCATAATACAAATAAATATATCTCTGTTAAAGAATACTCATAATTTATTTAATATATTCATTTAAACATGTTTTTGTTTTTTGTCTGGATGATATTGAATACTAACTTTTTCTATATAACTTCTTATCGACACATTGTGAGATAAAAAACAGACAATTAATTAAAAGCGTACTCACAATTTCAATTCTATACTGTTTCCCAAATTATGAAAATACTAAAGAATATTTAAAAAAAATAAAAAGCCAATTAAACAATGTGTTAATATCTAGAGAAGAACATCGTACTTCTTTTTTAGAAACGAAAAGTAGTCAAAAATTGTGAAAATAACAACATATTTTTATTTCACAAAAATAATAAGTCAGTTTTTGTTTTTTATGTAAATCATATCATTTTCAAGGCAATAAAACAGAAGAAAAGTCACCGAATACCGATTTCAAAAAGGTCTATTAGTTTTTATAGGAAATGGAAAGAGAAAGAACGCTTTTTAAACGAGTTAAAATTCTTTACATATTTCGATGACTTTAAACGGATTAAGGTATTTTGTACCGTGTTAAAAAATTTAAAAAAATTTTTGAAGAATATTTCTTTTTTTTTTAAATTAGTAAACTTTGACAAACATATACAATATTCTAAAAGATAAATCACATTTATGTGATTATATAAAACTTTAATTTATTTTTCTAAAATAATATGGATTGTCCTCTAAAATATATATAGTGGCTCGCAAAAAGTCTGCTTTTTATGTTACTTTTTTCAGAAAATGTTATTCCTGATAAAACTTAGTGTTTAATTAAACCTAAAACTTTATTTATTCAAAAAATTCTGTACCATAAATATAAATTTGGCTGCACAGTGAACTAGGTACTCTTCTAGGAACCGAACCCACATTTTTACATATAAGATTAATTTAAGAAGATGTATATAACTCCACATAGTAGTTTTTTAGTTATTACAAATAATATAGATTATTATATTCTTTTTAACCTACTTCAAAAAGGAGGAGGTTCTCAATTCGTCTGTATATTTTTTTTATGTATGTTCAGCGATAATTCTTTAACACAATGTCCGATTTAAATTATTCTTTTTTGCTGGAAAGGGGGTACTTCCGGGATGGTCCCATATAAATTTGGTTTAGATGTGGTGATGGCATCTGCACGATTTTAAAGTCGGTTTTTTAAAATTACTTTCAACACATCTTACGGAAATTAAAAGTTTAATAATTTGGTGCTTTCTTTATGCGTCGTTTTATGATTTCTTTTTGCATATGTTTAAGTACAGATAATTATTATTATTATTATTACTGGCAGTTTATTTTAAATCATTAAAATAATATTTTGTTGATCCAAAATAGGCAAAAAAAAGCCATGTCACATTCAGTGTAATAATAAAAATTAGATATATAAATATAGTATATTATGTACCAACAGACTAAACTTTCAATTTCAATCTCGCCTTTTGTCGTAAAAGACTGCTTTTTCTAAAAACCAAAATTATCTTTAAAATTCTTATATATTTTGGAGCAAATTTGGTTTATCACGTACTTTCGTACGAAGCACCCTTTTCGGGTAAGAAAATGAAAACCAGTATATTGAAACTGCTTTTGATATTTTGTTGAAATTTGGTAGGAACCCACCATGAGTGGAAACACTTTTTTTGGGAAAAATTTTATAAAAATATCTAGAGTGATAAGAAACTTATGATAAAATAGTTATTTTTTTTTCTTAAAACTTTAACACCCAAAGGATTCACACCCTTAAGTATCGGCACTCAATAAATAAATACCCTGTATTAATTGATATTACCTTATTCGAGCCAATCGTCTATTTTTTCGTTATTTGTATTTATATTTCACACCTCTATACTCTTAAATGTAATTTAATCTAACTAAACCTATTCACTAAAATAAAATATAAAAATAATGTAAAACCCTCTAATAAATCGAACTGCGTTGTAACAATATCTCGCAATGCACCGAGAAAAGCAAATACGATTCTGGTTCCCCTAATTTAGGTAACTCTGACTCACTCCGTGTTAGGATTTTTCGGTTCCTTTGTCTTAATTTCGCGCGTTAGAGTTTGGAATACGTATCCCTCGTATCTACAGGCAATTGTTAAAATTATGAATGAATGCGGGTTTTGTTTAGTCTCGGAAGTAATTTTGTAGTATTTAGGCTCCACCCTAAAGTTGTAATTTTTATACCTACTAAACTACCGTTGCCCCGCAGGTCTTTCAGTTTGTAATGTAAATTTTCCTCTTAAGACAAAATAAATAATTTATGAGTATATACAGTTTAAAGCGGGATATGTGGTCATGTTGACAGGGAGGAATCAACAATTCTTGAAATACTGGTATGTTTTTACTTGCAATCATCGAAATCACTACAAATTTTTTTGAAATTTACGAAACTATGATCGAAAATCATGGTCAAAATCATCACCGAAATCAATTTTTTGCTCAAAAATGTAAATGCAACAACTTGTGGATCAAAATACAAAGGAAGAGTAAACAAAAAGATCATTGTAAAAAATTGAGAAGAATTTTTCAATACAATCACAAAAACCCTTTATCACATAAAAAATGTATAGGCGATTTTTAAAAGTTTTGACCTTAGTGGTTTGTTCTTGGGTTGGCAGCAACTTCCCAAATTTTTCCAGTTTGTTTGAGGTCACACAGGATGGCGTTGAAGACCATCAATAAACTCAGAAATAACCACTCTACCAACCTGCTCAGAGTTGTCGGTGTTTGAAGAATAATTTTTGTGAATTGATGAACACTAAAGATTCGATCTTGTGTTTTTAGTTTTCGTTTAATCATGGAAAAATCCCGACTTTATGTGAAAATACTGGACATTTTTTTAATTTGACAGAATGGCGATGTAATACAAACGCCAAACGAAGTCAGTTGACTACAGTTGTATTCAAAAAGGAGCGAAGTAAGCGACGGCTATGAATAAATAAAGTCTGACTTATCTGTCAAAAGAAAAGGTTTATTACAGTAAAAGCCGTGGAAACATGATTAAATCCAAACGAAAATTTTTCATTTTAACTACAAATAAGCATTGAAGGATGGGGTTTAAATAAGATGTGTACCTTTTAAACCTGTACTATAGTCTATTTTTATGTATGAGAGGGTATTAAAATAATAAAGCGTTTGTTATCCATAGGCGTATCACTTCTTTTAGTAGACAGTTAACATATTTTTTGAAGTTATTCCTCGAGTATACACTTATATTTTCACCTAATTAACCTGCTTATAACTTCTAAACAGCTGAAGGTAAAAAAGTGCAATTTTTTCTAAAATGTTTTATTTTTCCACAAGGTATGTTAAGAACATTGTGTCAAATGGGTTATGTAGGTAGATATAAGGGTTTAAACTTTGACTTTTAAACAACGTTACGTTCATAAATAATAATTTTAATATAAAAACTACTTCTTACCTACAAATCCAAATCAGAATCTAAATCAGAAGATGAACTGTCGCAACCAATATTTACAATGAGTGGCTCGATCATTTCATCAGTAATATTGTCCAACTTCCACATTTTCGCTTCTTCTTTAATCGTATGATTTACTGCCTTTTCCCAGTTTTCAGGCTTCACATTATTTACAGCCTCCAAAAACAACTGTTTAACATCACTCATTTTAAAAGAATTATTTTTTCTTGAAACTTCTCCCTTTATCTGTGCCCATATCAGTTCAATCGTGTTTACTTCGCAATGATATGGTGGTGATCTAACCACCGTCATCCCACGATTTTTTGCAATTTCATCAATTTCATATTTTTTGAATTTCTCTTTATAAAGGGAACACAAATGATACAGTTCTTTTCTCACAGAACCGGGATGGAACTTAATATTCTTTGAATTTAGCCAATTCTGTAAATCTTTTTTTAACCACTTGGTTGTGGGCATTTTGTCTATAAGTCTCGAGTGATAACTTGCATTATCCATTACTATTATACAGTTCTGAGGAAGAAGATCTATAATTTGTTCGAACCACTCTTTAAAGACATCAGCATTCATGTCCTCATGGTAGTCACCGGTACGAGTAGATTCAAAGGTCAATAAACTACCTTTAACAAAACCGTTTGAACTACCGATGTGTACTATTATTAGTCTGCGCCCCTTTCCAGATGGTGAATTTAAACCAGTAGATAAATTATTTAAAAAAGCCTGTCTTCGACTTGTAACAGTTTTATCTTGCCAAAATTCCATGTTTCACCTAAATAAAATATATTTCTTCTTTGGTTTCTCATTTTTTTTTATAGTCCTTAGGTAATTTCTTCTCCATACTACAATATCGCTTCTTTCTATTAAAATAGACTTTCTGGAATGCTTTTTCCATAGAGAACCTATTTCTTTTAAAAGTTTCCATAGTGTGCTTCGACTCATTTCAGGGTAATCCTTATCATCTCGAACCGTGGCAAGAACTTTGTCTACTGTCGGAAATTCTTTTCTAAAGAAGAACGCATGCACTTTTTTTCAAAGCCTTTCTTTCAAAAGATTTTCTAATTGAAATTTTGGTTTTCCTGGAGCTTTACGTGCTATTTGAAACTCGCCACATTTCTCCTCTTCAACAACTCTGTAAATCGTAGATTTCCCAACACCAAGCGTACTACTAACTAATTCCACTGTGTCATCAACACTTTTACATAAACGTTTGTCTGTAAATGATTTAAAACAATTAAATATTAATGTTTTTTCATTAACTGTTAAAGGACCGATTTTTTGTCGTTTACGCGGCCCTTCCAAATTTTCCATGATCACACTAGAATTCACACTGCACCTTGCAAGTTGCAACTAAACGACATTTAGTAAACTGTCAAGAATACACAACTTGGACCTCCTTACTAAATGGAAAACCTATAATCGCATTTTCGGTGAAATTTGTTGGGAAGGTATTTATCTACTTATAATTCGATTACTGTAAGAAATTCTTGAAATTAAAATAAAACAAAATTGGCAAATAGGTACTTATTGAAAATAATCTTAAGATACGGCTATGTAATCTTTAATACACAGGGCTTTTGGCCTGTCCAAACCTTTTTCTATTATTCTGTACAGCTTATGTTTATAAAGGACCAATAAAAGACCCAAAACTTGTAATAGCTCAGGTACATTTATTACAATTTTAGGAAATATTTAGATTATTCTGTAAATATTTAAAATGAGCGTACTAAGTTTTGCATTAGAAATGCTGTTTTATTACTCTCTCATACATAAAAATAGACTATAAATTCGGCAAATTAAATTTTTGCAGTCCTTTCTTCTCTATTCTATAATTGTGAATGTTCTTCTCTTCTTCTGAATTTTTGTTACATTTTTTTTTAACTATTTCCAATGTTAGATCTTCTTCTCGTCTAGACCTGTGACCATTGAACTATAGCGTTGTGGTAGACTGCTCAGAAAAAATGCAGCAATGAGGTTTCGTCCATCTTACCGTCTTCTACTAGCTGCTGCCTGTATAGTCTTTCCAGCAGATACACTTAACTAGAAAGTGTGGCATAACATTAAAGAATCCCATACTTCTTCTGCTTATTTGGCATTTCTAATGTGAATTATCTGGCTATCTTCTAGAAAAAGTCCAATTATAGATCTAGCTTTATTATCTTGTTTAGACCAATAGGGTTAGGTTTATCCACCGATATAATATCCCACAAATCTTCTTTTATTATTACCAGTTCCATCGTAAATTTCTAAAATTGGTACTTTGGTGCATCCAGTTTTATAATTTGACCTTTTAGTGTATTTTACTTTATTTTAACATTATTTTTATTTGTATACACTATTTTATTTTTACTGGGCTGGGCCCATAACCTGATCAGGTCAGCCTTAAAACCATAGGTACGTGTGTTTTTAAAAGCAAGTTACAAAACTAGTAGTACAAAAAAGTATTTTTTAAATCAACCACATTGTATTATTACCTTTAATATAAGAACCACTCTATTCAATCTTTTTAAAATTTCTAATGTTTGAGATTCTTCTAATATCGATTTGAAAACGGCTCGTACTGAATCCAGCTCCCATATTATTTGTTTAAACCATAGCTCGTACGCTGTAACAAAAACATACATACAGTGACTTCCATAGATATTCATAAAAACGATATTAATAAATTATATTACCATATAAAACTTAAAGAATAGAAATGTCTTTACAATGACTGTCAAATATAACTATTATTTAAGTATTTTAAGTAAACTGCAATTTTTGATAACAAAATATTAACGAACATTGATTTGATACTGATTTGGGGAAACATAACCCTATTTATTTGAATTGTACTAATTAGAGTAATGAACCAGAGTGTTATTGAAAAAATAACGCTATCGGAATTGATCGTAAATAAAAATAAGCAGATAATAAAAAGCAAATAGCAGGAAATAAATAGCATAAAATAAAGAACAAAAAAAAATAGCTAAAATCAAATAACAGAATATTTAGTATCATTACTTTTATTGTGTGAACACAGCTTAAGTCGGTTAGTTATTTTTAGTTTTGTTTAGTGGCATTAGTATACGGCTGACAGAATATTGACAGGTCAGAAGGTGTCGTTTATTACTCATTGTTGGTTGCCGTATGTTGTAAGACAAACACAAATATGTATGTTGATGAAAATTGAAATAAAGTTATATAAAGAAGTTAAAAAAATATGTAGAGCATATTTAAATTAACAGATATTAGCGATATGATAGAAATGTGCCAGTTTGGAATACAAATCCACCTGTTTTGACGTTTCTTTTTTTTTATTTCTCCTTCACATTACTCTAAGATACAGCCGCTAACAACCCTTAATGATACACCTTGTACTTATACCAATATAGCTAAGTAAAAACATACTTTACCTTGGTGCGTAACGATAAATAAATGCTCATCGTGGACCGGCTCATTATTAGCTTCTCCTAGTGGTCTTTGAGCTCCTAATACTTTATCCAACATCAAGTATTCTCCATATAGCATTCCACATTCATCATCCAGCTGTTCTCCATCTTGTGCACTATCACTGCGAAATAACTTAATATTAATTATTGTGACAAAATACTTAACAATTTCATTTTAATTTATCTTATTTGCTGGACTCAGTTCTTAAATCCGGCCCTGTCTACTCGATTTTTGGAAGGGACAGTATTTTTATACTGTCCTTACTCAAAACAATACAGCTAAGCAATCCAAATCACGTGATTTATAATGGTGGACACTTGGTAAATACAACATAGATACATGCTTCCCTTTCTAGTGAAATTATTAGTCTATGTTTGTGTATTATTTTTTTGAAGTGACTTCTTTTTGGTGTTTTTAGTTCAAAAATGGCATTAATAACTTATATTTAATAAAAATATATAAATATTAATTGCATTATTTATATAACAGTCAAATACTAATTAAAAAATTTCAGGTTAACAAACTTTGTTGTTTTTACCAAGCATCGGCCATATTTGTCCATTTTGACAGGACATTGGATTGACTTATTTTGCTTCGATCTGATGTTTTTAATCTAATATATCGAATACAAACGAAAAAAAAAACACCAATATGTTGTATTTTCTATCAAAATTATGTAAAAATATGGTTAACATTTTTACACATCCTGTATCAAAATCTTAACTCTGACCTATTACAAACCAATCGATTTGGATTTTTCTGTAATTATGACAGTGAAATATAAACACCCTTTCTTTCTGTATGTGAGGTGAGGTCAATAATCTGAAACCTTACAAGTTTGCACAACAAATACTTACCCAGATCGAGTGTCATATTTGCATGTGTAATATTTTTCATTGAACCACGTGAGAATCTTTATTTCATTACGAGTTAGCGTAACGTATAAAAATCTGGTAAAGAAATATGCGTTATGCGTTCTAGTTTCGATGTCTTGATTTTTCTTGACAATTTTACTTATATAGAGTGGGAAAAATATTTAAAAAAATGTTCGAATTCGGTATTTTACTGTAACTTCTAAAATAAATTCGACAATACCAAAAAAATGACAATTGAAAATATTGGATATTTATTGGTTTACTGAAATTACTGATTCGTTTGTTAATTAAATCTGTTGTCAGTTCATTTAGTCATTAACAAGATCATTAATTTGTCAGTTTCTTCATTTGTTAGTTCATTCATTTATCAGTTCGTTCTTTGGTCAGTTCATTCTTTATCAGTTCATTCACTTGTGAGTTCATTTATTTGTCAGTTCATTCTTTTGTCAGTTCATTCTTTTGTCAGTTCATTCTTTGTCAGTCCATTTTCTGTCAGTTCATTTACTTGTGAGTTCATTCATTTTACAATCCCTAAATGAAATTCGACCAAACAAGTTATAACAATTTAAAATATTGTATATTGATCTATTGAAATCACTGCTTTGTTTGCTAATTCTTTTATTTGTCAGTTCATTACTTCACTAATAAGTTCATTTGTTTGTCAGTTTATTTGTTTATCAGTTCATTTGTTTTTCATTTTATAATAGAATCATTTTTGGGTTGGATGTTATCAGTTTTTTTTGTCACTAATCAGTAATTAGTTCATTCAGTTGTCATTTCATCCATTTGCTGGTTTATTTGTCAGTTCATTAATTTATCAGTTTATTAATTTGTCAGTTTATTATATTAACAGTTCATAAATTTGTGAGTTTATTGATTTGTCATTTATTTATTGATTCATTAATTTGTCAACTCATTCATTTGACAGTTCATTCCTTTGTCAGTTTATTCTTTGTTAGTTCATTCTTTGTCATTCCATTTATTTGTCAGTTTATTTCTGTCATTTCATTAATTTGTCATTTCATTCATTTGTCGGTTAATACTTTTGTCAGTTCATTCTTTGTCAGTCTATTCTTTGTCAGTTCATTCACTTGTCATTCATTTATCAGTTAATTTCTAAAATAAATTCGACCAAAATAGTAATGACAATTTAAAATATTGTGTATTTATTGATTTATTGAAATCACTGATTTGTTTGCTAATTCTTTTATTAGTCAGTTTAATATGTCACTAATAAGTTTATTTCTTTGTCAGTTTATTCATTTCTTATTTGATTTAGTACCTATAAAAATCATTTTTGTGTTGGATATTTTTTAGTTTATTTAAAACGCTTATTTAAGTCATTAATCAGTTCTTTCAGTTATTAATTCATTCAGTTATCAATTCATCTACTTATTAGTTCATTCATTTTGCAGTTCATTAATTTATGTTTATTTTTTTTACCGTTAATTCATTTTTGAGTTCATTCAGTTATCAGTTCATAAATTTTTCAGTTTATTAATTTGTCAGTTCATACATTTATCAGTTCATTCAGTTATCAGTTCATTTGTCAGTAGTTCATTTGGCAGTTCATTTCTTTATCAGTTTATTCGTTTGTCAGTTTATTCATTTATCAGTTCACTTATTTCTCATTTTATTCATTTGTCAGTTCATTCTCTGTCATTTCATTCATTTGTCGTTTCATTTATTTGCCAGTTCATTATATTGTCAGTTCGATCTTTGTCAATTCATTCATTGTCATTTCATTCCTTATTATTTTTTCAGTTACTAGTAGTTCATTCATTTTACCGTTCATTCATTTCTAAGTTCATTTAGTTGTCAGTTTATTGATTTCTCAGTTCATTCATTTCTGTTAATTCAGTTGTCAGTTCATTCAGTTGTCAGTTCATTCATTTGTCATTTCATTCATTTGTCATTTCATTCATTTGTCAGTGCATTCATTTCTCAGTTCACTACAATATTTAACATTGTAAATGTAAATTTCTTAAATTATTTTTAAAATAGAACAATCTAAAAATAATTTAGTTAATTGTTCATTTTTTTTTATAGACGCATTTGAGCATCATTTTAATCTTAGATTTAAAAATAGACTTATTCAGAAAATAAAAACTAAAAATAGACGAATCAACAATAATTATTTTATTAAAATTGATCAATTTAAATATATTTAACACTATTTTTACCAAATATTTACATAAACCAAAACAATCTGAAATTTTGCAGTTATCAATAGTCTAAAATTATCAAATCGTTTAACCCTAAAATCATAAAAGGTCAGTATTTTAATTAATCAAAACAGAATAGATTTCATTTAAATTAAAACCAAAAAAAAAATAAAACAAATATACTGTTCTTAGTAAATCTTTAAACAAATATAAAATCTTGCATCATGTTTATATCTTAGATGCAAATAAAATATTATTCAAATTATTATTCGGCAGTTTTGGTTAAATATATTTTGAAATATTATTTCTGACAATGAATTTTTGACATTTTGTAATCAAATTGCTTAAGATATTGACGTAGAGATAATTATTAGCCTAATTTATAATTTTATCATGAAATTGCAACAGAGAATACATACAGGGTGTTGCGATATTGGATAAACAGCAATCTACGCTAGAGCTTACATTCGCTATACAGGGAGAGTCGTACGTATCGTCATTTTTAAGAAATAAATATTAGATTACATGTTTTTGTATTGTTTCCACAAACCATATTTGCAAGATGGTATAATAACGATGCAAAAGCTAAACTACAGAATGAATATGTAACCACATATCAGTCTACTAAACGGATATAACGTTATATCTATTCTATAATCTATATTAAGTCACCCACACGCATATTATACATATTATTTTTTAAGCATAGACTACAGAACCAAAAAATAAGCCATTTCATTGTACTGAATGAATATCATTTCATATTCGTTCTAGAAAGGATACTGTACGAATATGAAATCCACCAATCACAAATCATATTAATTGGTGATTGGGCTACTATTATCTTCTTTAAATTTTAAATAACTGATAATTCTGCCAAACTAAGGAACTAGGAATATGTGATTTTTGTGCAGAATGGATAAAAAAAAATTATTTCACAAGATATTCATCTATATTAACAAATAAATCGTAAATTTTATTAACACTTAAACTAAGTATTATCAGTATTAAAAAAAAGTTGTTTATCTGGTTAGTGCAGAGATATAGTAGTGAGTTTTCTTGCGATAGGTCTGGGGTTCAATTACCTCTCAAGAAAGAAAGTCTGGAGAAAATAATTATCTTTTGAGGAAAAAAGACTCAAAAAACCACCCCTAGTGGAAAAAAGAATCAAGAGAAAACTACCCCTCGAGGAAAAAGAATAGATAGAAAACTCGAAAGAAAAAATACTTCTATAGAAAAAAAGACTCGAGAAAAAAACAGTTTTGGAGGAAAAAAATAAAGAGGAGAAAGACTTGAAAGGATACCACCTCTCGAGGAAAAAACTAGAGAGAAAAAAACGAGATAAGAGTACCTTCAGTTGGAAAAAGACTCTAGAGAGAAAAGGAACTTGAAAGGAAACCACCTTCCTAGGAAAAAGGACTCTAGAAAAAAATATTTGATAGAAAACCACCTTTCGAGAAAGAAAAACTGGAGATTAAAAAGACTCGAATTAAAAAAACTCATTTGGGAAAAAAGATTCGAGAAAAAACACCTCTTGAGGGAAAAAACTAGAAAGGAAAAAGACTTGGGAGACAACCACCTCTCGATGAAAAAACTGAAGATAAAAAAGACTCAAAAAAATAATTCGAGAAAAAAAGACGCGATAAAATAATCACCTTTTGAGGAAAAAAGACACAAAAGAAAACCACCTCTCGAGGAAAAAAGAATCAAGCTAAAAAATACTCCAGAGAAAACTACCGTTTAAGGAAAAAAATAGAGATAGAAGACTTGAGAGAAAAATGATTCCTTTGGGAAAGGATTCGAGAAAAAAACCACCTCTCAAGGAAAAAAGACTAGAGAGGAAAAAACTAGAGAGAAAAATACCGCTCCTGGAAAAAACTCGGAAGAAAAAGAACTCGAGAAAAAACCACCTCTCGAGAAAAAAAAGATTCGAAAAAAACCACCTCTCGAGTAAACAAAAGATTTGAGAGAAAACTCACCTATTGAGGATAAAAGACTCGAAAGAAATCCAATAAACAATTTTATTCTACATTTGTTTGACATTTCAATCATTTCTACTTTATGATTTTTAATAAATAAATAAGCAGGTACTGATAATGTGCAACAGTATTTAAATAGTTCATTGTTTTTATTAAAATTCTGTAAAAAACTAAATTTTTTGTCACAACTTTTATACCTGTGTTATGTTTCGAAGTGGCGTTGGATTTTGTTTTTTCTTCTTAAAGTGGCGGCGTTTCAGAAAAGGTTGGGAACTTCTGATTTAGATTTTAATAATTTAAGAGAAATTTTATGTAAAACTATCAATACATAAACACAAATATGCCATATAAAAAAAAATAATTTTTTTTCAGTCTTTTAAAATTTTTTAACGATTTATTTTTAAATTATTGTTTAAGTAGAAAAATATATATTAGAAAAAAGATAAGTTGAAGAGAGCTCTTGTACGTTTAAGAATGTTAATCTTTTTCTAATATATTATATTAAAGAAGTATTATTTTTCAGCACTTTGTGTATTAAAGAAGCCATATAAAATTTTCGACGATTTAACAAATTAATCCACCCCAATTCTTTTAGTTTGTTTGAAACTTGATCTCTATAGATTCTAATGAAAAAATAAAGCTGATACTGTTTTGAATTCTCTGTAAGCCTCGCCGACGAGTCAATAGACATGACCCGTAAACAAATTCAGCATAATTGGTAGGATTTAACAGTAACGACTCACAGGGTTTTTATTTTTTTTTTTAAATATGTCTTAATAAAAAAAAATTAAAGAGCAATAGCAACTTGGAGATCAACTTGGAGAACTCCTGCACAAAATGAGCCCAAAAACCTCCTTTTTTTATATCTTATTTCTGAGCTTAAATAAGAATGTTTTTTTTTCTATAAGGGATAAATAAAAAAGGATACACACCCACTTAATCACATTTAAAATATTTTTATTGATATTTAAAGAAAGCTTTGAATTTAACACTTTAACACTAATGCACTTTAACAATTTTGGGCTCAAAGTCACTTAAAAACAGACGTAAGTCTCCTCGTTCAATATTTTAATTGTACAATTTTATTGGTATAAGTATGTTTTTTTTTATTTATGACATGTTCTGTTCATTGTTTAATGTCTAAAATTATTCTTAATAAATGAACTGACGAATGAGCTGACATATAAATAAACTGATAAATAAATAAACTGACAAATTTATAAACTGACAAATTTATAAACTGACAAATTTATAAACTGACAAATTTATAAACTGACAAATCAATAAACTGACAAATTTATGAACTGACAACTGAATGAACTTACTGGTAACTGAAAGAATGAACTCACATGTGAAAGAACTGACAAAGAATAAACTGAACAAATGAACTGAAAAAATGAACTGACAAAATAAACTGACAAATGATGAAATGACAAAGGAATGAACTGACAAGTGAATAAACTGACAAATGAACTGAAAACTGAATAAACTGAAAAATTAATGAAATAATAAATAAGTGAACTGACAAATGAATGAACTAATAAATCAATGAAGTGACAAATAAATGAACTAACAGATGAACAATCTGACAAATTAATAAACTTGTTAGTGACTAAATGAACTGACAATCAATTAACAACCGAATTATTGATTTCAGTAAACCAATAAATATCGAACATTTAATATTGTCAAAACTTTTTGTGGTATGGGCGTATTTATTTTAGAAGGTGCAGTAAAATACTGACTTCTAACATTTAACAAAAAAGTAAGATTTATTTTACTACAATAATGCAGTGCATTTTTAAAGAATATTTGCAGAATAATAATATATTTTTTCAATATTTGAATTGTATTATTTTATTACTATAAATATGTTTTTTTTTATTTTTAACTTGTTCTGTACATTTCTGTACTGTCTAAAATTATTTTTTATGAATAATTTTTTCTCAAAAATTTATAATAAAAAGTTTTCCTAGTGGTGCAAATTTTATAAAAAAAAAAAATAATAAAGTTTAAATAATTTGACAAAAAAAAGATTTACTTACTGTGAAAATGCCGGACAACTCATCGAAAACACTCGATGTTTCTTATTTTAATCCTAACAACTAACTGATAGATAGTAAATATTTCAAAATTGAATCGATATGTCTATCTCTTTCTGGCGTAAAGTTCTGTTTAATCCAGTCTAACGTAATATCGAGGGAAACAGCCTCTAGTTCTTTCTAAATATCGAATGTCAGTAAAATGCGACTGTCCCGGCTAACTGGACTATATACGATGTACTCTTAATGATTAATCGCCATACATTACCGTCTCGATGATGGTGGGTGAGGTTTTCCGGGTTTTCCTCACCTGTAAGTCAAATGGCACCATCAATCATCTTTAAGGGTGGTCAACAATTTACCACATTCTGATTTTTTGACCACATTATAATAATTTTTCTTTAGCACCATCGAGTAGCCCTTCAAAAATTAGGATGCCAAATATTCAGCAGTTTTCACAAAACATTGACCTAAAGTTGAAAAATAGGTGATTTTAACACCCTGTCTCTGTAAATATTTAATTTAGACCGCAATTATGTGGTATCTGCGAAATCAGCTCATCAGCTCTTCAATGAGAATTCAAAATTACGAAAATATATAGGGTGTTCCATTTAAAAAATAGTAACTTTGATATGGCACACTTTTCTGGAACACCCTGTATATTTCAAAATAATTTTAAAACGTAGTGTTAAATGTCATGTATACCATATTAAGATAGATATATGTATACTGTATATACAAAAAATTACAATTTACAAAGTTTATTGTCAATTTTTAAAATTTTTGATGAAGGAGAAGATTAAATAATGATTATTTTAAAAAATACTCGTTATTTATTTATTTATTTATTTACCCTTAATTATGAAATAATATCATTATTTTTAAAATTTCCTGTCAATCATACCTATTTCTATTTTTATATAAAAAATGCAGGCATATGTCGGAAGTTTAATACAACTTGGCATCAATGGTTTATATCTACTCAAAGCTTTGACTTGACTTTCGTTAGCATTTGGAGAAAACTGTTTTGAGTAAAATACTTTATTAAACAGTAATTGAACGTAGTTGGTTTCCAAGATATGTAACTGTTTTCAGTTATGATTTGGTCACTTTTCAACTCCCGCCTTAAGTAAACGTTGTAACAAAGTCCTAATTTAACTAAAGACTTGGTCAATGTTAAGACGACGTTGTTCGGTTGACATTGTTGTAAATCTTATAGTTACATATATATACTCAAACAAATAATGATTGAGAGTGAACCGTGTTGTCATATCTCAATTTTACCTTACTAGTTTTTAGCAGAATCAAAATAGAGTAAGTAGTAGAGTTGTAAGTTGTGGCAAATTATAGATAATATACAATCATAGTACTAATAAAAGATATTAATTATAACAAAAATCAGTAATGAGTAATACTTATACATTTCTTGATCATTTAAAATTAATTATTTTATGGATTGTTCAGTATTTGTTACAACTAATGGCATCGGTGTACGGAGCGATATTTGTGTCTTTGTCTGTTACGCGTAAAATCCATCTCGTCGACGACGTTCTCAGTAGTGTATTTCTAACCACGAGCGTAACATCGGGTTTTGAATTATACGGTGTAAATTGTAAGTTTTACAGTTAAGTTAGTAAGTAATCGACGTGTTGTAAGAACAATTGGTGAAAATATTAGTGCTAATAAGTGTTTAAACATTAAATAATAATATTTCTACACAGTTCTAAAACTATGCAAAAAATGGAAGACATTGAAGGGCCTTCAACGTCGAAAAAGGTAAAACGGTCGAAGTCTCGGTCGCTAAGTGAAAAACAAATTGTACTTCGAGTATTTCACTGTCTTGAAAGAGATCATCAGCGACCAAAAGATAACTTAGTGCATATGTACTGTAATTCTACGGATGTACCTCCGAATAACCAACCGGGCGTTCCAACATCATTAACTTCCACAATTACAAAAGATAAATTAGTTGATATGTGCTCTGATTATACGGGTGTACCAAAATCATCAGTTTACAAAATACTAAGAGAAAACAAAATTCATGGGGAAGTACAAACGCCAAAAACTAGTAGCGGAAGAAAAAAAATCACAGTTGATGAAGAAGCCAAAAACAGTATACGCACAACTATTCACAGTTTCTTTTTCAGAAATGAGCTGCCCACTTTGCAAAAAGTTCTGGAGGCAGTTAGCGATCATGAATTGGTCCCACAAATGAGTAAAGAAACTTTGAGGAAAATTTTACACGAAATGAAATTTACGTACGGAAAAGTCGACAGGAAAAGCATTCTCATTGAACGTCAGGAAATAATAGTATGGAGAAGAAAGTATCTCCGAAAAATTGAGGAATTTCGGAATATCAAAAAAAAAATTTACTACATGGATGAGACGTGGGTTAACCAAGGACATACGGTCAAAAAAATATGGCAGGATGGTCATATAACAAGTGCACGACAAGCCTTTATTGAAGGCTTGTCAACTGGGTTAAAACAGCCGTCTGGAAAAGGTAGTCGTCTGATAGTTACGCATATAGAAAGCGAAAGTGGATTTTTACCAAATGGTGAATTAATATTTAAATCCAAGAAAACAGGCGACTATCATGAAGAGATGAATGGGGAGGTGTTTGAAAAATGGTTTGAAGGCATCATTCAACTTGTGGAACCTGGGTCTGTCGTCGTCATGGACAATGCCCCATATCATAGTCGGTATTTAGAATCATTACCGAAACAATCATGGAAAAAACGAGCAATTCAAGAATGGTTAATTAATAGAAACATCCAATATAAAAAAGATAGTTTAAAGGCAGAACTACTTCAGTTAACAAAATTACACAGAGACAAATATAAAAAATTCGCAGTGGATGAAATGGCGTTAAGTCGTGGAATTACAGTATTAAGGTTACCACCGTACCACTGCTAATTAAACCCAATAGAATTAATCTGGGCGCAAGTAAAAGGATATGTGGCACGAGAAAACAGAACATTTAAATTAGTGGACGTGCAACGTTACCTACAAGAAGCCATTCAAAATGTTTCTGCAGAAGACTGGAAGAAATGCATTCAGCATGTTTTAAAAGAAAAGCAAAAAATGTGGGACGTAGACAACCGTATTGAACACAATATTGAACCAATCATAATTAACTTTGATGATAGCGGTAGCAGCAGTGACGAATCTGAGGTTGAAGATTAGAAGAAAATTTGTACACAAAAAGAAGTCTATATATTTAGGTATAATTTTTATTTTTACCATTCACTATTACCATTTAGAAATTATTATATAAATTTGTATTTTTAATTCCTGTACACAGACATGAACAATGTCTCAGCAGGATACAAATGTTTATTTATTTAATTATTATTATTGTTTCAATTTGTACATTGTTACATAAATTTGAAATAAACATTATTATTATTATTATTATGTTTGGCGGTCAAGAAAACATAATCCTGTAGGTTATATCCAAACTAATTATCTTACTTAGGGATTTCCGAAATGATAGGGTTTCTTGGGTAAGGCTGGCTAGTTTCGAGGAACTGCAGGTAAACCGGGAGAGAGAGAGAGATATATATATATATATAGAGGTATGCTTTATTGTCATTGAAAAATTTCAAAAATGTTATAGGCAAAGCGAAGTAAATTAAAAACTAAATATAATATAAAAAGATTAAAAAATATAAAAATTTAAAAATAACTAAACAAAACAAAATAAAAATATCAATTGCATTGGATATGCAATATCCGTCATTATGATTTTAATTTAAAATTTAAATAATACTTCTGTATGTGTAACCCAAGAAGAAACTTAAGAGACAGTTCCTTACTGACTTCGGCCGCGACATAATATATAAATATACGTTAATTTGTCAAATAAAGTTAAATTCATTATTAAAATAGTAAAATTGATAATATTGTTTCTGTCACCAAACCAACCCCTGATTAGGTATCTTTCTTATTTTTAATTTGAAATATATATTGTGATTTTTATTAATATTCTTAATTTATTTGGTTCCTACTATAATTACCACAATTATTACTCCATTTTCATAAAGCCCCACTAATGACTACAACGATTAGGTAAATTACGATATTGCAAAGTTTTCATGAAATAAATAAAAGAAATTGTATGAATAATTTAAATAATTGTACCCTCTCAAAAATAATAAGCACGCCTCCGATTTGGTCGTATTTTTACCTGCTTTCACTCTCAATCATTATTTGTTTGAGTTAGAACTAATTTAGAGTATTAGTTACGTACCGTCGAAAGGGACATTTCAATTTTAATTGAACGCGACGCCTATGACGCAATATTGAAACATAAACAGACATGGTTTTTGCGTAAATTTGTGTGTATTTATGGTATATCAAGTGAACGGATTAAGATCCGAAACCGCAACATACCGCAAGCTCCTTTTATAAATATATCCGTTTATACCTCCCACATTCATTATTGGTAACTATTATTTTACAGTGCATTACCAAGTAAATAATGCTTTCATGGCACTATACCTAGAAACGACGTAATACGTATTAAATGGTTGTCTAACATGAATTGTAAATATTTTAATTGAGTTATAAACCCAATTTTGTCACTTTTAATGTTTATTTTAAGTTAATTTGATACTAATTTTCCATATTTAAAAGGTGTAGTTAGTGTCATATTCTTATCCACATTTAGTCTTAAATTAATAATTTTTAAATATTTAGCAAATTTTTTAATTTTTTAAAAAGTTACTTCACTAAACCGATACCAGAGAGTCATCAGCAAAAAATTGTGTATAATTCCATTCACTATAATTGTTAATATCATTAACATAGATTAAGAATAACGTTCTATAATATTTCCCTGAGGAACTCCATGTATTACAATCATTTCTTTTGAAACAGACTCATTTATTTTGATTACAATATATGTTCTATCTGTAATTACTGATCTTTTGTATCGTCCAAATAATATTCTAGACATTCAGTCCCTCTCTAATTATCAGACATGCATTTTTATTCATAACCGATCTCTGAATAATATACACTCATCCATACAACTGACTACTTCCTATGATATCCATAGATATAATACTCGGAATAATCGCTGCTTCAGAACCACAGCCGTAAGAACATGCTTTGGTGACCGAAGCATACTATCTGATGGTCTAAGACAATATAATGAACTTCTTCCTCTTTCATGTAAAAATATTTGGTCCTTCTATCTTTTACACCGCCCCATGTAATATTATTTGGGTCCTTTTAATTAAAAATATTTAGGCCTTTTACCCCTTAATCCAGCTCATGTAAAAATATTTGATCCCCTTACTTTACACCTACTCTATGCAGTACTATGCAGTACATATGCAGTATCATGCAGTATATATGCAGTACGTATGCAGTACTCTGCAGTATCTATGCAGCATTCTGCAAAACACGATATTTACAATCTTAAGAATGTAAAAATATTTTGTCCCTTTACCCATTAAGTCAGCAAATGTAAAAATGTTTGGGCACTTTATCCTTTTACCCCTTACACGGCCTTTATAACAATATTTGGCCCATTTATACCTTAAGTCTTCCATGTAAAAATATTTACTTCCCAACTATATCAAAATATTTTATTTTTTACCATTACGCATATCCCTATAAAAATATTTTGGTCATTTACCCCTTTGAACGTAAAGATATTTGGCCCTTTACTACCCTTTAAGCTGCGCTGTGTAAAAATATTTGGGAACTTTACCCCTTAAAAGTCTGTCTTTGGACCATTTACTACTTAAGTTTGTCCAAGTTAACAAATTTGGCTCATTTACCCTTTACTCCTGCTAATGTAATTTGTCCAATGTTACAATGAGGGAATTGAGGAATCATTGAAAAATAAAATATTTAAAACATATATTTTTATTTAAATATTTGAACATTAACAATATTTTTAACATGAAAAATGCTGTGATGCAATTTGTTCTACTAATACTTTTTTTAATTTGTCAGCAAACTCTCTTTTTACGAATTCGTTTTCTTCAAACATCGTTTCAAAATTCTATACAATATACTTTGGTAAATAATACCCAAAAGCTATTAAAAAAGAACAATTATCAACATTCAGTTAACATCAAAATATTTCTATAATATAACTACTATATATTTATCCACCTATTTAATCACTGTTTATATCACATGCCCTTTATATAAAAAAAACCGCTTTTATAAATGAGTACTCTTCATCAAAGAAAATAAAGTTAATTAATCAATAAGATTCAGGATATTAGAGATATAATACCCGCATAATTATAACAAACGACAATATTGACAAAAATAGAGTAAAAGTACTAATAAAATTAGCTTTCAAATGTCAAGTGTCATACTTTACACTAAGTTTAAGTTTTTTTTATCCCGCTAGAGGGCTCTAAAATCAATAGTTACGCAAGTAACAGTCATATTATTGAATTCGCCATTTAATTACCTTTTCAGTGATGTGACAAACTTGGTATTCTTTATTTAGGGTATGATCCGATATTAACCGATTACTAACCATAAGTAACTAGGAATTTTTGACCGGTTCCTTACATTGCGTTCGATCTGCCAAGATCCTTTAACACGTTTAACTCCAAACGACCGTTTTAGCGTTCGGTTTAGTTTGATTACTGACAGTTCAACACGCTTAAATGTCATTTAAAAGCACCCTAAATAACTCCGCCTTTTGTGCCGTTCCAGCCCCTGGCCAAACCCTTGGTTAAATTTGGACCACGGCCGAGATTTACGTCACTTTCGTGACAGATTGACATTTGACTTAATAGTAACCGTAAAAATATAGCGGTTAAAGTGAATTGACGTTTAAGTTACCATTTTCAGGTAACCGCGTTCCTAATCTAACCGATATTTCGAATAATAACGGACCATACCCTTACATTATTTTGGTTATGGTAGAAATATAACGCCCTTTCAATATAAATTGACTTATTTTGATACTTTCTATTGTAGCATAGGCAACTAGTATCACGTCTATGTGTATATCATGTTGCCTATAGCTTAGTTTAGAATGAGATATACGCGCAGGTCCATTGTAGATGTAGACTCGATGCTAGACAATGTTTATGACAGTTTTATATTCAACAACATACAGGGTGGTTCATTTTTAAAAAGAACAATATAACCAAAAATATTGAAACTGTTTTGCTTTAACGTTATAAATTAATTTAATAAAAGTTATAAATTATGCGGATATTACCCATAACACACTGTATATTTATACTATACATATTCTAATTTGATATACAATGTGTTCGTTCTCTGTCAAACAAATAATACCTACCTTATCAAGGATCAGGCAACTTCTTATGAAAAAATGGTCATGTGTCAAATTTTCTGAAATGTTTGAATGTTGTAAAAGTCTGTATTCTACCAGAAAGTGACCAATTTGAGATACAGGGTGTTAAACATTGAAAGTACCACTTTTTTGTAACCAAATTTCATATAATCAGTGATGTAGCAATATAGAGACTGTTTAAGTTAGAAAGTCTCTCAGGGTTCTGTGTTGGGTTCTTCTTTATATACATGACTTAGCTCAACTTAACACTGGAAGTACTTTCACTTTATTTGCTGATGATACTATGATGTTATGGCACAGAAATAACACCAGCGTTATTTATAACATTAAACAAACTATTTGTATCTAAATATGGAAAAAAACAAAAATACTAAACCTTATAGAAAGTCATAACATTGATACAATACAATAAAATAAAAACCATACAGAACTGCTAAACAAAATACTTTCTTCTGCAATCAAAACTGTGGCAAAGAGATATGTTTTAAACCAGCTAGAATTATATATTACACTCTAGTCGAGTCCCATTTAAATATATTGTAATGTGAGCCATTTATAACCAATCTGTTCATGCTCTGGTCCTTTGAGCCTTGTTACGACCACATTTATCCTTCAAACCAGTAAATGCAGAAAATACTACGCTCAGCCCCTCACAAAACATTGGTCGATGTCTTGTCCGCTGCTCTAGAGTATGAAGCAGCTACTAAGGCTTCTGGACTATACAGTAAAGGTAAACTGGTTAACATAATGAAGAGCTTCACTGATAAGATGAAGACCATCAGGTGCTGGAATTGCGGCGAACTGAGAATAAGCCTTAAACCCCATCAGGTTTTTAGATAATCGAGTTCTACAACACACCAACATTTCAGAAATTTGATTAAAGACAATTTTTCCATTTTCTTTTTCTTAAAGCCAGTCTTTTCACCTGTAAGCTCTAATCGGACTCACAGATGAACAAATCTGTCCATAATATCTTTAATATTACCGCGCTATACCCACATGTGATTTAATTAATCTACCGATATACTGCAAAGCAATGAAAGTCTTATTAGGCGCCAATCTCTGACGCAACAAATAGTAACTACCGCCCCTGAAGAGAATAAATATGAAACAAAGCACCAATACATCTATCCAATACATTGTGTTTTCCATTCCCATGTCTTTGATGAAAAAATTCAAGTCCGTATAGATGCAGTACTCTTCGGTATCAGGACAACTCAGTTTGGCTCTGTCTTTCAACATGGCGTGAATCAAACCTTCTAGAGAGTACCTGAGGTAACTGAAGTACATGGCTATCTTGATTAGAGTGGGGATGGTGTCGTAGCCAGAACCGAAACCGTATACTGCTAGTAACATGAAGGGTACTGTGGCTACTGGTCCGACGAACATGGCGTTCTGAAAAAGACAAAAAAAATTGGAGGCGTTTTTAAGTTGCAAGTAAAGAAAGTTGCAGCGATGAGGGTACAGTTGGTCTAAGCAAATAATATAACTAAAGTTTTAACTCGTTTTTTGTGCCACAAAATATATTTTTATATCCTCCATCGCAAGAATCAATGGATGATCAATCTATAGAACAATCTATATCATTGACCCTATCAAATTAGGCATTCCAACGACCTGTCCAAATGGCTACCAGTGGGTACTGGCAGTTTAGATGTGGCAACCCTGTTGTTATGTTGTCATTAACAGAGTCAATGATACATATATAGTTATATAGATTGCTCTAAGCTAGTCGTTTGCGAGCAGCCATATTGCCTGGAAAATATTTATTAATTTGAATCGGTTTAGCAAAAATGTGTTTTAACACCAATTTTCGGCCTTTAGATATTTAAAAATAAATAATTGCTAACATTTTTACTTCAAGGCATAAGCTCATGTTTATTTTAAAAAATATGGATGATCAATCTATGTAACTATCTATTTCATTGACCTTGTCAAATCACCAGGCCTACAGGGTTGCCATAATTTTGCCATATCACAAAACCCACTGGGGTGCTATTTTCAAAGTCGAGAGAATTCATTTCTCTCGAGAGAAATGTCATACGTCAACGTAAAACAGTATTTTTAGGGTCCTAAGGGCCAGTGTAAACTCACTGATTGTTTCTCACGGTTTATTTAGAGATAATTAATATCCTCCTAAGAATTTTAATCCTCGAGGCCTTTAAAAACAGCGTTTCCACATTGACGTATGACATTTCTGATGAGAATCTTGAGAGAAATGAGTACTCACACGGTTTGAAAATAGGTCCCCTGGTAGCCATTCAGTTTGGAATCCCTAATTACCAGGCCCACAGTGTTGCCAAATCATACCCTATCATGTGTCTGTTATTACTAAAGACCGGACATTTTAATCGCGTTCAAATAATTGGTTTTAATCACATAGGCGTCTCATTCTGGGTTCGCTATTTAAGACGGCAGACAGTGCGGCAGATTCTAATACTATCAGGACAAACCTCTTTTTTTTATTAAAACAAGATAAAAAAAGTGTACTGATATATACATAGACATTAAAACTAATACAAAAAAGTGAGATTTTTTTTTATCGTGTACCTATATTCTTTGTCTTTTGAATCATTTTCATTAAACAAATTTAATGTTTTCTTCTCACCAACGCCGAGGATATGTAGGATATTTTACAAAAGTTTTTAGTAACCTCAGATCCTTTAATTTGTGGCCTGAGAAATTTTCCTTAAAAAAAAATAACTTTTTTGATGAAGATGTTAAACTTTTCATAAGCGAGTTTAAGGTGTAGTAATGTAAACGATATTCTGTATGATATTTTTTTTATTATTATCTCTTATATAATTACAAAATATCTATTCCTCAATATTTTGGCGTGGTACACTACTCTCCTGCCTAAAATGAGGATCGAGGACCCCAGCTGCCTCCCCCGAATTTGTTATTTCCTCCAGAAAATTGGAAATTTCTAGCCTTAGCTGGTCCCGATTCATTGTTGGAGAAATTGCATCGGGGCCAAATATTAGGACTCTACGAGCGTTTGGACTAAGACGCTGTAGAGAGGGCCTAAAATGAATGTCAAATAGGCCCATCATATGTTGTCTTATACTTTCTCGATCCATTGTCGGTTAGTTGCCGGTGATATTTTTATTCAAATAAAGTCAATCCTTATATTATATTTATGAATATTTTGGCTTTTATCGATACCGTACATACCGATTTTTGTAACAAAAAATTTATGTTTTTATTTCCTGTGGATATTATGGTACTTATACACGATGAGACAATAAAATAAATGTCTGTTAAATTTCTGTAATGTATGTATTAATTCAATTGCTCACTCTATATAGGTATCTGTTGGTTGAAAAAATGTAAAAAGATAACAAAGAGTCGATAAACAGGAGATTTGAGAAGAAAGTGTCTTGTAAAAATATCACTAGATTTTTCCAATGAGTATATTTGTTTAGTTCAAAGGGAAAAGTGATAGAAACTGGAAACGTAAATATGGAAAATTTATTATCGGACTTTGATTGTTTTCGTCGTTTTAATGACAACAAATTATACTGCCGCAATTGTGATCAGGTGTTAGTTTTTAATGGAAAGTCAAGTATGACACAACATGTGAAAACACAAAAACACATGCAATCTTTAGAGGGATGTCCAGACAAAATCTTTTATGAAGATTTATGCAACGCATTTGTTTCTGCAAATATTCCATTAACAAAATTAAATAATACAATTTTCAAAAATTTTCTTTGTAAATATACTAAACGTAAAATACCGGATGAATCCACAATTAGAAAACATTATATTCAAAATCAGTACGATAAAGCAATGACGGCAATAAAAACGAAAATTTCCAGCAAATATATTTGGGTTAGTGCAGATGAAACGACTGACATAAAGGGTAGATGTGTTGTTAATGTTGTTGTAGGATTATTAAGTGCTGAAAATACTTCACAACAGTATTTAGTTTCTAGTGTGTTTCGTGAAACTGTGAACGCTGAAATGATTTATGAAATAGTGAAACGTGGATTGAACAATGTAATTGATAATGACGTTTCAAAAGTTTTATTGTTTATTTCAGACGCGGCAAGTGTAATGTTGAAAACAGGGAAACTATTACAAGAACATTTTCCAAACATGCTGCATGTAACTTGCCTTGCTCACGCGTTACACCGAGTTTGTGAGTTTATCCGTGACAGCTTTCCAGACATTAATTCGTTGATTAGCTGTTTTAAAAAAATTTTGTTAAAAGCACCGTCCCGAGTTTCTTTATATAAAGAAATATGTCCGAATATCCCCCTACCTCCACAACCAGTTATTACACGATGGGGAACTTGGTTACAGGCTGTGTTCTTTTTTTCGGAGCATTTCGACAGACTAAAAGTATTTATTTCCAACTTATCAGAGGACGCTCTCTCTATCACTCAGTGTAAAGGTTTAATAACAAAAACAACTTTGCAGTCGGAGTTAAATTTTCTTGCGACTTATTTTTCGTGTCTCCCAGAAACTATAAAATTCCTTGAAACCCGTAACTTACAATTATCGGTTGCTATGGAAAAATTTGAATCGACATTGTTACACTTAAAAAACGTAAAGTGGCCCTTACAAGATAAATTTAACCATAAAATAGATTGTGTTATTAAAAGAAATCCAAATTTACAGACTCTGAAACAAATCTCCCTGAACAATTTTAACGATTATGAAACTGCTTTAAAATATTGTGATTTTGTTCCACATTTTTCATTTGCTCCTGTAACGAGTTGTGACGTAGAACGATCGTTTTCTAGGTTTAAAGATTTATTGACTTCTAAAAGAAGTAATTTCACTGAAGACAATTTAGAAAAATATGCAGTCATACAAACATATTTTTCAAATGAAGAAGATTGATATTAATTTGTATTGTATATATTGTATATAATTGTATATTTGCTACTTTAGGATAAAGAGTGTATATTGGAACACTCTAAACATAAAACTAATGATGGTGTATCCTCGTTGATATATTTATTAGTCAATAATATATTAACAGAAAAAGCCAACAACATTATCCCACAACACAATAAAAAAATAAATAATAATATCATTTGTAATTATATAATAATATCCAACCAAATTTGAACTAAAATTTAATAAAATAATTATTGCAATGTAAATGTAATAATAAGCCCGCCCCAAATGTTACGCCCGGGCGATAAAAATCCAATATCTTATCTACTGTGTCGACCAGTTCAGTAAATAACTTGTTTTATTCAGAATGTATTATTCAAATCGAAGGTCCGCTCTTACCGTTACTTCGCTGATAAGAATAAATTAAATTGTCCGGTCTTTAGTTATTACCTACGGGTAATCATTTTGTTTGGAATAACTAATAATACATTCTGTCAATATTTCTATTTTTTCATCTAAGTCCTAAAAATTGTTTTCTTTTTTATTACGTGGCAATACATTTAGATAAATCAGCAGATGTAACAGCACTTACTGCGTTATTTAAAAGTATTTTTAATTCTACGAATTTGAAAGTGGTATTTTGTGTTTTTCTTGGGCCTATAACCGTTTTAGATATTTCATCTACGACCAATTTAATGATTTTTTCCTTGGCAGACGATCAGTACCAAGTAGTATCTCATTGTCAAACCAAGGCAATTTTGATTTATAATGACATGTTTCTATAGGAGCAATATTAATATTTACAGTTTCAAAAAGTAGTGGAAAATAAAACATTACAAATTGATTCAAAATCTTTAATAAATTTTGGATGGTTAATATTTGAATTTTTAAATATCACAAGGGGGTGGTTGGATCAGTACAATCGGAGAAAACAGAATTAAAAAATTAAACACTTACCACGACAGTTAACTGAGCAGCGATAAGAAGTCCCAAACTCTCCGATATGACACCTGTCAAAATACAAATCAGGAAGAACATAAACAACCTGTCCATTTCCAAAGGTTGATCTGTTAGAAAATAGACGCAAACAACGTAAATTGATCCTAATATTATCTGTACTGGCAAGGTAGATAAAGATAGAGCTGCAAAATAGGCACTGAGTCTGTACCATTTGTTGAAATGCTCTCTTTTCACTAGCTGAATTTCTCTAGGAACTAAAAAACAAATATTTATGTTAGAAAATATTTATTCTTTCAAATTTAAATAAAAAGTGTCACGTTTTGCATTTTGAATGAATGAATGAATGAATACAACTCTTGAAATTACGATTAATTATTACTGTGGATGCACTTAATATGTTTGTAAAAATTCCATGAATCTTTTTTGTTGCTAAATGCATGGGAATCAAAAAGAAAGTCTTAGGTAGATTTAAACAAAATAGAGTCATGTTTTTTTCATGAGTCTGTACTGCACCACAAGAATAAGTAATAACCAGAAGGATATCTCCGATCACGTGATCTTCGAGGGCTCGTGACCTTCAAGCACACATAAGCTGCCTATCGTATTTTAGAGGATGTTTCCCTTGGTATCTCCTTTGAATAGTAGAATAAGGAACACCATAATGTTCTAACGCTGCTCTTATGGACATATCCCCCCGCCGCGTACCGTCGCCACTGCTCTGTGAACGTTTTCTATGTCATAATTGCATTTACCACTAGGTCCTATTTTTGATCCTAAGGGATATCAACAATGCTCTGAAATTTGAGAACAAAGCGTTGAAAGGAGACAACCAGGTCCTTCTTAATAAATGTAACAATCTTGGAAAGAAGCTTCAAGAAAAATTGGAAGACACGATCACTCTCGAACAGTACAAAACTTGTACGCATTCACTGTGCCCATCCAAAGAACTCACAGAATTTATTAATGTTCAGATTACCCAAAGGATAAAATCAGCTACAGGTCGAAAGTATTAGGACGAATTTAAATTTAAGTGTTTATCACTATATTTCTTTGGCCAAAAGGTTTATAAAACAAAGAAAATTAAAAAATCGGAACAACTTAAAATAAATTTTGAAAAATTTTGCGAAACTTTAAATCTAAAAATGAAAATGCCAAAATTAGAAGTGACTACAAGATGGAACTCCCACTTCTAACTAAATTATTTTACCTGCCTGAGCCGCAATCCCTTAGAATCTTATTACGTGGGATAGACATCCCACCAGGTTTGGAAGTCTTCAATGTGTTCAAAACATTTAAAATTAAAGTTGACAATTTTAATGAAATGGACAAATATTGTGTACAGTATGTGTTCTTTTTCCTGTCTTGCTTGTATCTGTCTCTGCTCCTACCTGTATCTGCCCCTACCAGCTCTGGCTCTGTTAACCCCTCTCTGTCACTGCTTATCTTTGATTTTGTATATTTTGTACTTTTTAAATAGAACTTTCTTTACCTTTTTCTTTTTTATTCCTCTTTTAGTTTATCTTTAACATATATAACTCTAACTTAAACATTTATCTATTTTTTAACTTCAGTATAACATTTACTTTTTCCCATTGACTTTTAAAATTCCCAACTGACTATCTAATTTCTTATGACATTTCTTTCTCAATCAACAAAAAAAAACCGACATTTTGATTTTTACGTAAATTTCAAGACCAATATCGATAAATTTAGATCATAAATTTGATAACGTCAGGAATTTCGATTATCAATATATATAAATCTTTTACTTACCTATATTTGTAATGTATGAACTTAAAAAATAAATCAATAGCTACTCAATATTTTTTTATTTGTCTGACCTTTTTTTACGGTGCGCCTATGGAATACAAGTAATAACTAAAAGACGAGGTCATAGCTCATCAGCATCAACTACAAAGGAATTAAATGAGAGATATCCTTCTGGTTATTATTTATTCTATGTGCAATCACAAGAATAAATAATAACCAGAAGGATATCTCTCATTTAATTTCTTTGTAGTTTTGATGTCTATTCAAAGGTTTTTGGACAAATATTTAGATCTCTAATCACCGGATCTTGCTTCATGTGACTTTTTTACTCAAATATTATTACAATATGCCAGTGATATATTTATAATGGTATCTTACTTTGATAAATACTTACATTGAAGAAGAACTGGCATCATTGGTATGTACATAAAGAAAATAAGGCAGCAGAAATAGAAACCAAAGTTAAATAGAGTCTTGGAGCCGTCTTGGCCCATCCCAAAGTACAAAGTTCCTATAAGAACACCAATTATAACGTGTAATATCATCCTCAAGAAAAGGTAACTCTAAAAAAAATTAATTATTAAAAAAGTTACATTTTAAAATGAAAATAAAGCACATCTTACTCTATCTCTCCACATTTGCAACCACATCCTGGATATGAGTATGGAAAATTGCGTCATCCAGTTTGATTCGTGTTCAAAAGTGGAGGAACTTAACTCTGAATACACTTGTTCTTTGATCGATGATATACTGCTACTAATATCGACTTCTTTTAGTTCTTGTATCGATGATGGCAAGATGGATTTTTTGTTGTAAATAATGCGACCGTTGTGAATGACTGACACCATACGGTCCTGGTATTCGCCGTATTCGTTGCAACAGACCTCGATAACTAAAAATAAAAAGAAAAGAAAATGTAGTGTTTTGGTAAAATATATATTATATAACCAGTGTGGAAAGTGATATAAATAGTATATTACACACCGAGGTGGGAAGAGTTTCATTCCTGTCGTGAGATTAGTTAGATCACCGAGACGCGAAGCTTTGACAAATTTTATAATACCTATTTAATGGCAAACAATAAAATACAACAATGAACTAAAATACAACAAACTACTTATTGATATTTATTATTCGCGAATTTAATATCCGGCTTTATCTGACATTTATTTATATTGGTGACAGTTTCCCGTAAACTATTAAAGACCTATCTTAAATTTTGAATGTGTTGTTCTAAGGAAGAACTGAAAACAATGATTTCGTCCATGTATACAAGACAAATTTTGCCTTGAAGATTCCTAAGAACGTTATCCATTACCCTTTGAAAGGTTGCTGGAGCATTCCTAAGGCCGAAGAGCATGCGGGTGTATTCATAGTGGCCACGTTCTACGTTGAAAGCAGTTGGGATCCATCTCGATCTGATGAAATCCGGTTACCAAATTCAGGGTAGTAAAATATTGGCATCGTCCTAGCTTATCTAGGATGTCGGTTATATTTGGAATAGGGTATCTATCCTCTATAGTCTTTTCGTTCACTTTTTTCTGTAGTCGACCATTATTCTGACTTTCCTACGTCCGCTAGCGTCTGGATGCTTTTGAACGACCCATATTGGACTACTCCATGGACTTTGACTGGGCCTTATAATCCCATCTTCAAGCATCTTGGAAATTTGTCTTTGTACCTCGTTCTTGTATACGAATGGATAACGATATGACTTGACATAGACCGGACTTTCGTATGTGGTCTTTATTTCGTGTTTTACTTGATTTGTAAAACTCAATTTTTGGTTCTCCTTGTAGAATAATTTTTTAAATTCGTTACATAGACTAATTAAAATGGTTTTTTTTTTCAGAATTTAAATGCCTTGTGCGTATTATGTCCTCATCTAATTGTTCATTATTAAAATTTTGTAGAAATGAAAAATTCTAAATTATTTTGTGTCCCTCTGTAAGTGTAAAAACTTTAATATGTTCTATTAGCGTAATAGTAATTCTTTTATCTATATTGTTCACTATTTCTGTTTTTGCAAAGCCGTTACAAAATAAAGTCAATTTTTCTTGGAAATCAAGATCAACGTATTTCATTTCGGGTACAATTATCTCGCCATTAGAATAATCTACTGGCACCTGCATAGCAACGATTTCGTATGCATCCTCAGAAATGGTATAATGTTCCCTATTTATTTTTTACTAAATCTATTGTAAACTTTAGGTTACGTAATTCGTTTAATCCTAGTAGCCCGTCAAAATGATTATGGAATTTAAATACTATAAAGTATATTGGAATTAAATTCTTTAAAGGCAAGAATTTTAGCTTTATATTCGGTTTGCTTTTTACCTATAGCCGTAATTATTAAGGTTGGGTCGTTGTAAATATTTTCTGGGAAATATTTCTCAACGATATTTGGACTTAACATACTAGACGTACTGCCGGTATCTATAAGGAGTTTTAAAGGTGGATTTTGTATAACTATATATGTTCCTTGTTTTACTCTGGTTGTTTTCCGAAAATTTATAGGAATTTGATTATTTTCTGAGTTTGAATTCATTTGATGATTCGGTAAATAACTTTCAAATTCGTAATCGAATGATCGATAGGAGTTTCCTCAAATGGATTTTCAAAATCTATGTTACCTATTTGAAATAGTTGTTGGGTTGCAAAATTAGTGTGGAAAGTGATATAAAAAGTATTTACAAAATGCTAGCATAAATGCCTGTTTAAAATATGAGGATGTAGGATCTATCTAAAGGTTGATAGTTTCAAAAAAATATAAGGCAATAATAACAAATGTAATCTTACATTAGATTCAAATGGTATTCGAGAGTAGTTATTTCTCAAATTCAACAAAAGAGGGCAGTGCTTTAATAGCGACAAACAACATATCTCATTTTGGGGAAATAAAAATAGACCTATAAGAAAACCAGGCATTGGTAATAACAATTTGCTCCAAAAAAGGGGAAACTACAGTAGCTGCAATTTACTCTTTGGCAAGGCACAATCAGAAGAGTGGACTATCCTAACATCCTTAACCAATTGGGAGCGTTGAAAATACTATACAGGGTAATAATGTACTTTTCTTTTGGGTTATATTAAATTTCTGATAAAAAAACTTTATTCTATTGCATCTTTTGTTCAAAATTCGTATACTTACTGAAATCCGCAGGATTATAATGTTTGGGACAGTCTATTCCCATTTCGCTTAGAAATGGCACCACTTCAGGTCCGTAACCCTGATAAACGCACTGGCCCTCAGATAAAATGTACACGTTGTCGAACATGGAAAACAATTTGGCACTCGGAGTATGTACAGAGCAAATTACGGTCCTGCCCCCTTCGGCGATATTCTTTAATAAAGCTATGCATTGCGAACAGGACATGTCGTCTAATCCTCTGAAAAAAAAAAGAAAAATATCAAGATTAATAATTATTGTTTTTGTAAGTGTTGTAATTGTTGTTCAATATATTAATACGCAGTAGATCACTTATATAACGTTTATTTAATAAAGACAATGAATATGCAAAAAGCGTTCTAATTATTATTAATACCAGAGACAACTATTCTTTATCATCTACACCAGAGACACAGGAACAACCTTCTTCGTCTCTTTTGACATCTGACATTTTACATTACATTTACCTTAGATCAGTGGTCGCCAACCTCTCAATAAGCATTTTTGGAAACCTACTATAGATCACAAATCCAAATTACTGGTTTTACCTGTTGGATCACGTGGATCACTGAACTTAGTGTCGACAGTTTACGAACGAGTTGGATTATTGATCCTGTTTACCTACGGCTGTCCATCTTTGACTTTTCCCCCCTTAAATAACCATTTTAATTAAACATATTTGTAATCTGAATAATAAAGTCGCAATATGGGCATAAAGATTACAAGTTATAACTGATTGGATATAGAAAAAACTTCAAATCTACTACTGGCAGATACCAAAGACCAAAAAATTGCGTTATCCCTTTAAAAAATTCTGCGGTGCGCTCGCGGATCTATTACTCGTAGAGTGGGTCACAAAATATTGATCTCGATCACAAAGCTGGATCAGTAATCTACTAGTTTCCGAACACGGATAAGGTTAGTAACTATAGGTAAACGAACAATAGGATCCATAATTTTTCTGATCCGAGTAAGTTTCCGAAAACGCCTAATGTGTTGAGCTACTTTGTTAATTTTGGAAAAAACATCGAGCTACCCACATGGAAGCCACGTAACGCAACGTAAATGAAATAATCCACGGTTAATTTATCATTATATGTATTTATTTTACTATTTAACTGGTAATACATAATACATAGGTACTAATAATAAACTAATAACAAAATAACTAATATTACTAGTACGTACTTGTTCATAGCTACATTCCTACCTACCAAACGAAGGTGTTTGAAAAATAAACACAAACTTTTATCCAGCCACAACGGCATGTCACGTAAGATTTAAAAATAGTTAATAATAACAAAAAAGTAACGCACTATCATGAACATAAACATTGAAAAATAAAAAAGCACGTTCAATGAGAAGGCTGACACTCAAACTTCATATTGGAAAAAGAAGATTCACACAAATAGGTTAAACTGAATAATGCTTTCACTTTCAAGGCAACACGGCATAGAACTGAATATTTGTCTTTACTTACAATAGGCCAGATACATTTGGTACTTGAGACTAACGATTTTAAGGTTAAATCATTTTGAAACTCAATTACTTCCATTTCTGTTGCAGCGATGTCTTCGCCAAAGTTCTACATAACACAAGTTGCAAACTGTTGGATATCAATTTCCATAAAGGGTAAAACAACAAACTGCGCTACTAAAGCCATTTTGTTGAAATCCTTAAAACGATTTTTGAAGTTATTCTTCAGGGTAGAAACTATTTCTACATGATATTTGCTGTCATAGGGTTCTAATGGGTTTTGAGACATTTTTTCTGAAAGAATAGGAAAATGCTTGGCATCGCTGTTAATTAGATTTTGTTCCCAAAACTCCAGCTTTTTGATAAATGCTTTTATATCAGAAATAATTTCCGCTAGTTCTTTGTCTCTCCCCTGAAGCTGCAAATTAAGTTCCTTTAATTTCTCTGCAATGTCCACGAGAAAACCAAAATCTCTAAGCCAGATTGAATTTTCTAGTTCCAGAGTCGGTTCATCGCGTTGTTTGAAAAGTTGAACTATGTCAGATAGGACATCATTAAAACGTTTCAGCACCCGTCCTCTACTTAACCATCGGACTTCAGAGTAAAGGAGTAGGTCCCCGTATTGACAGTCAACTTCATCGGCCAAGGTTTTGAATAATCTTCTTTGTAACACTTGAGCTCTAATCTTGTTCACAATTTTTACCACCAGTTTCATAACGTTGTTTAATAATAATAATAATAATCTTTATTAACCAACAAACGGAAAAGATTACAATAGTTGTTAAAAAAAAAAGAATTCAATTTAATAAATAGGTTGGTTAAAAGGCGCCTATTCAGCAAAGCTGTTCTTCCATAAGAACCTATCGCAAAGTAAAACCTAAATTTGTAATTATATATTATAATACCCTAAATAAATAAAAAAAATACTTATAAAATAACATCTTATCTTACGACAACATAACCTTTTCTCCTAGATTGTTTTTATAATAATATTTGTTAATAATAACAATATTAATAATAATAATAATGATAAAAAAAAAGATGTAACAATAATATTATAAAACAGGTCATAAAAAAGCTTTCAAAGAATTTTTTTTTAGGCTAATACCTACATCTACATCTGCTTATGGCAACATAACCTCTTTTCGTAGATTGATTTTATTATAATATTAATAATATTAATAATAATAACAAAATCGTATTTATAAAACAAGATATAGGAAAGCTTTCAGAGAAGAAGTTTTAACGGATCTGAAGATAATATCTACATTGCTCTTGAAAAATAGTTTTTTTTAAGTAATATTTAAATGAATTTAGAGATTTTCTTCTTATATCAAGTGACAGTTCATTATACAAAGCGGCAATAGTGTATGAAAAAGATCTTGTAAATAAGGCTGTTTTGTGTTTCGGTATTGTTATTGTATGTTTGTAACGTATGTTAATGTTGTGAACGTCTTCTCTATAAGTAATTTTTCTTGTCAAGTAAGGTGGTTTTTTATCAGATATAATTTTGTGAAAAAACGTAAGAGAATGCAATCTACGTCCATTGGCCATATTTAACCAGTTTGTTGTTATAAGCTTATGACTAATTCGATGGTACTTCGTAATACCGTAGACTAATCTAAGGCAGGAGTTTTGTAATTTTTGGAGTTTGTTCTGATCAACGACTCGTAAACATGGTCCATAGACATAATCGCAATAGTTGGCATGCGAAAGTACCAATGACTCTGTCAGTAATAACTTAATTTCTTGTGACAGATATATCCGATTGGCATACAAAAGCTTTAGATTGGAATATCCATTCTTTAAAATATTATTGACGTGATAAGAAAACCTAAGATTTTGATCAATAATAACACCCAAATTTTTCGATTTCTCAATAGGTTTTAGAATATTATTTTTTAGTTTAATTGTAATATTATCTTTTGTTAAACCAAATAATATAATATATGACTTGTTTGAATTTAAATGCAAATCGTGCTTACTAGACTGGTCAATAAGATTTTCCAAATCACTGTTAATTTCATTTTGCAACATTAACAAATTTGTTTTACTACCGAAACGGTACAATTGTGTATCATCTGCATACATGTGCATTTTTGAAAAATTTAAACAAGTAGGAAAATTGCTAGTGTAAATGGTAAATAAAATGGGCCCAAGAATTGAACCTTGAGCTACCCCTCTTTTAATTTCACCTTCGTTTGAGGTGTGTCCTTTATATGTAATTACTTGACGTCTGCGATTGAAGTAATTTTTAAACAGATCTATGGCTGACTTATGTACACCTATAAATTTTAATTGTGAAAAAAGCACAGTGTGACTAATTGTGTCAAAGGCCTTGCTGTAGTCCAACAAGATCAGTGCTCCGACATTTCCCTTATCTAGTTCCCTAAAAATGTCATCAGTGATATTTAGCAATGCACTACCACAACTATATCCCGGCCTAAATCCAGGTTGCACCTCAGGGAGGATATTATAAGTATCTAAGTGGGTACGAAGTTGAGTTTCCATGACCCTTTCAATTATTTTAGAAAATGTTGGAAGAATGGTGATTGGTCGTATATCTTTTAAATTAGTGGGGTTTTGTATTTTTGGGATTGGAATTACCTTACCTACTTTCCACTGATCTGGGAACACAGAAAGGGTTAAGCAGTAGTTTATGATATTGCTTATATATGGCAGTATAAATGGACACGTGAATCTTATAAGTGTTATATCTATATCATCTGTTCCTCTAGCTTTAGTTTTTATGTTAATAATTATTTTGCTAATTTCATTTTCAGTAACAGGAGTAAATCTAAAAGTATTAGGGAAGTTTTGTTGACGATTGTTTTCATAATAACGAACAAGATCTTGAGAAATAGTACTATCTTTTCCAACAGTATCAAGAAAGTAATTATTAATATTGTCTGCATTGCAGTCAAAACCAAACTCAGAATTTTATTTTTTATTTCTTATTAAGTGAAGGTGTTTTAAAGTGCTCCATTTTTCTTTTGTAGTTTTTGATTTTTTTAAGCAGTGATTAATAAAAGCTTTTTTTCTGATTTTATTGCGATATTAGTATAATTTTTTATATCTTTGTAATAGTTCCAATGAACTAATAGTTTTGTTTTCTTAAATTTCCGAAACGCCTTTTCTTTTAAAGAGATCATAAATCTAATATTATTTGTTAGCCACGGAGACGGTTTTTTTGGGAATAGTTTTGTTTTGTATGGGGCATGACAATCAAATGTACAGTTTATATAGTTATTAAGTAGATTTACCTTCTCATTAATATCACTGGAATTAATAATATTTTGCCAGTTATGTTTTTTAAGATCATTTTCAAAATTTTGAAGATTAAATTTAGAGAAATCTCGATAAGTTATAGGTAAATTATTATTAACGGTACCATCAAGTTTAAATAAGGCATATACAAGGGAGTGATTTGAAATAAATGACTCGTCTAAAGTGCCACATTCAATTACACTTAGTGATTTGCTAACAATTATGTAGTCCAGTAAAGTTTGAGAGGTCAGGGAGATATGAGTTGGTTCCGAAATAATTTGTTCCAAATCAAACGCTTCTAATAACATTGTGAGCCCTTTTACAGTTGGATGGTCATGATGTAGGTAATCTAAATTGAAATCACCCGTACATATGACATGGTCATGTTCCAGGTACATGGCAGAAATAGTATCTTCAAGTAAGTCTAAAAATGCGTCCATTTGAATTCTAGGGGGTGGACGATAAACACATCCTACA